GACTTCCGTTCCTAACTGCAAGTGAAAATGCTCGACAGACCATAGGAACACATAATCGACACATTAGCCGGGACACTGCGATCCGACGTCTCCGTTCCAACAACCTCAGATGTCACCGATCAGCACGTCGTCCTGTTCTCCAACCACAGCATCGACAAGCACGACTTCAGTGGGCACAGGGTCATCACAATTGGCGTCATCGTGAGTGGAGGCGTACCATCTTCTCTGATGAAAGTCGCTTTTGTGTCTCCCATGCAGACGGAAGAATCAGAATTTGGCGGCGTCAAGGTGATCGTTTTGCTGACAGAAACATTGTAGAAAGGGATCCATGGTGTGGACCTAGCGTCATGATATGGGCAGGGATTGGACTTAATGCAAGATTTGGACCCATGTGCTTTCTGAATGTTGGTCAAGGTCCGGGACACGGCGTCACTGCTCAGCAGTATATCGACCAAGTGATCAGACCCCACGTTGTTCCATTTTTTGCACAACATCAACAACACATTTTCCAGCAGGACAACACTCGTCCCCATGTTGCCAGAGTTACCATGGCCTTTCTGCAACAACACAACATCCGTGTTCTACCGTGGCCAGCCCTCAGCCCTGATCTGAACCCCATCGAACATTTGTGGGATGAGGTTCAAAGGCGTCTGCACAATGTGCGCCAAGTCCCTACAACTGCCGATGAACTACGCACAGCTGCTCTGGATGTGTGCAGGAGGATTCCTAGGGCCTTCACAAATTGTCTGATCCACTCAATGTACAGGAGATGTGTGGCAGTGATCAATGCTAATGGTGGTCACACCAGGTATTGACTGACATTTTGGGTATTGACTCGAAACTGTGTAAGCCCTTAACATTTGAAAAAAAACAATTATGTCATCTCCCTTTTCATCCATTAAACTGTCTTCAGTCAAATTTTTGTCAATCTTGCCCTATTAGTATTTCTTGTCTTTACTGTTGAAAATAAATAACATGTATACTGCATACTCGACTTTTGCTTGTGAGTATATTTCTATTCTATTCTATTTCTGTACTATTCTAATTCACTATTTTGTAACTTAGAGAGAGATATCCATTTATTACTTGCACATATGAACGCCAGAAGCCAAATGAAATATACTGTGTCTAGAGCATGCACATTTTACGCTCATCCAGCAAGAAGCATGTGCTGTATGCCAACTTTAACTCTTTCCGCGAAGCTGTTGTGTACCTATGAATCAACCACTGTGTCCAGGAACATGACACTTGTTCCCGGACGCTTTTACCCGGATGCTTCAGAACATGCCCCCTTCCATGATTGACCCCTGTCTATCATCTATTTGGATCAATACTTCATCAAGACAACCCAGTTGACAAACTACAAAAAAACCAACATTTTTACAACAATTACTATTCCATGAAAACAGCGGCACTATTTACAACCTTGAACAACTGGTTGTTGTTCAGTCTCGTTATTCGATATTCGATATATATTTGTAACTGGTCGAGTCAACCTCGACCCTCCAACTTTAACATCTACAATTCTAACATGGCAATCTGTGCCTGGGTGAGTCTTCAAAATCCTTCCCATTGGCCAAGTTCCTCTTGGATTATCTTGTGACACGACAATCACCACATCATCAACTTGGAAGTCTCTTGATGACATGATCCACTTTTTTCTGACATTCAACGTTGGAAACCACTCTCTCATCCATCTCCTCCAGATATGCCATATAAGTTCCTGGATCCTCCGCCAACGCTTCTGGGGAGAAAAGGAAGTGGAATCTAGTTCTGGAGTAAAGTCTCCACCAAGCTGCCCGTGTAGAATGCGGTTTGGTGTGTGTGGAAAATCATCCTGAGTGTGCGCACTCTGATATGTGAGTGGTCTTGAATTCAACAGAGCCTCAGCCCCAGTAAAAGCAGTAATCAGTTCTTCATCTTTGACATCACTTGAGCTGAGGACAGCATAAATAGCATGTTTAGCTTACTTGACCATCCTCCAAAGTGAGGAGCATTTAGAGGGTTAAATCTCCATACAATGCCTCTGTTTGCCAATTTTGATTTTGTGATGCCAGAATCTAATGGAGTCACCAGCCTTTTAAGTTCTTTCACAGCTCCAATGAAATTCATCCAATTTTTCGATATGATCTCCTAGGGCATTCCTCTTCTGTGTGCCATGCGGAAGAGAGCATTCAAGAATGAATTTTTGTGTCTAGTCCAAAAGCAATCTCTAAATGTACAGCGCATGCAGCTAGGCATGTGAACAGGCACAGATAATGCTTTTGACGGCTTTTACCTCGACCCTGTACCAGCGAAATCTACCCCAGCTTGAACAAATGCTCTCATTGAACAAACTACTCTCACCTTTGGAAGATTGTCCATGAGTTGATGCGCTGGCTTTGCTTTTTGCTTTTTCCACCAAGAACATGCATTTTTCCCATTCACGAATTTCCTCTCTCGAGGATATTATCCAGAACTTTGTAGACAATGAGGCTAATGTTGTATTTGTTCCCATGTGGTGACACATTTCATAATGATGTTTAACTATCAACTTGTAACCGGGCTTTTTCGGGGAAGATTAATAGGAAACCTTGCTTCCCAGGACAGGACTTCTGCAAACCTCAGTCTGCCATTTAATCTCATCACTTCTGTTTCATCCAGAAAAGGCTGTAAACCCTAAGAGTTTACTCTTATGTGGTATTCTGCTGTCCTGTTTCACTGCCAAATACTCTTTAGGAAATGCTTCCTTTTGATCTTCTGAAATTAGTTTTCTTTCAGCTCCTTCAATCTCATCTAGGTCCAGATCATTTTTCCTTCTCATATTCTTTGGTGTACGAGAGTTACTGAGAAACCTGTAGAATCTACACAGTCTTTTCCAGTCGGAAAACCTACATGGATCCAAACGCCATGTCTGATCAACATCTTGCACCATCATTGTCACTTTCATAGTTGATCCAGTTTTCATTTCCAGCCCAACTTTCTGGAAAGCATGCCTCTGCTTTGGCCATTGGTTTACATCAAGTTTTGAAAACTCAGGACCCTGTAGCCATGCTTTTGTACCAATGTTTCACAGTGGAAGACTAACCTCAGATTAACTAAACATGAACTTACCTTGCAATCAACTAAACGTGAAATCCCCTTGTAATCAACTAAACGTGTAATCCCCTTGTAATGTAATGAACAATGAAAATGTAATAAGATAAAATGAAATTGATTTGAAACTTAAAGTGAAGTTGCCGTTTGATTAGCGTGTGTTAACAATGTAAATGGTTAACTCTCTCAACTATTTCTATTCTATTCTATTTCTGTACCAATCTAATTCACTATTTCGTAACTTGGAGAGAGAAATCCATTTACTACTTGCACATATGAACGCCAGAAGCCAACTGAAATACACTGTGTCTAGAGCATGCACATTTTACGCTCATCAAGCAAGAAGCACGTGCTTGTATGCCAACTTTAACTCTTTCCGCGAAACTGTTGTGTACCTATGAATCAACCACTGTGTCAAGGAACATGACACTTGTTCCCGGACACTTCAGAACAATGCCGTAGAATTGAACAATAATCTATCAGCAAAAGTATGAGCTGAAAGTGTACACAACATTTGTATATACGCAACTCAATGTAACGCTATTTACATTTAGCGTTAGGCGAGCATATCTGCGTGCAAGCCAACCAACGTGGATGATAATCTTTGTGAGATTTTTTCACATTTTCGCATAAGTTATGCAAATAAAGAGTTTTTCATGAAGCGGGTCTGGAAGAAAGCCATAGAATTGAAATTAATCTATCGGCAAAAATATTTTTAACGAGTTGAAAATGTATACAATAATATATATATATACGCAACTCACTGTAACGCCAAAGCTAGTAGTATTTAAGAACACAAGAATATGTTATACATACATTGCTGAGAATTGTAAGCAATTTGACTACTTGGCAGGCAAACAATTGTAACACAATTCAAAATGGCGTCAAACAACAGATACGTCGCTGGATAAAAACCCCATAAAACTACACTACATGGTGAAAGTAATATGAAAAGAATACATCACCCATCACAGATCAATTTTAGAATTGTAGAGGAAAACTGAAGGTCTCAACTACTCCATAAGGAGGGCTCTGCTGGGACACGTCCTTGCTGTAGTGCCACAAGCAGTGATGTGAAGAAGGTGACCTTAGGTGTGATCACGGTCACAGGACAGCGGTGGTGGTCGGAAAAGTGGTACTTCAGAATAACTTTATATTTTCACCCAGGACCATCGCTGTTGCGCTGTTCTTGTTGTCATAAGGTATGCAATTAATGCATTTAGGAGTAATGCAGGATAAGTAAAAAATTGAAAAAATACTTTTTTTTAAAATCCCAAACTATCAAAAGACACCAGTTCACCACTAAACCTATCAATGTGCCAAGTTTGGTTAAGATATCTGTCATGGATTTTGAGTTCTGCTCCGGAAATGAAACCTGACGGATGGATGTATGGACAGATGGACCGCACCAATTCCTATGCCCCCCAGCCACTTTGTACCTCGACCTTCAAAGACAATTACTAAAAATCTGGTCATATCAATTACAAGTATTTCAAGAATATTCCAAAGGTCTAACTAACATATAACCCAAATATGTTAGAATTCAATGTAGTTACCCACTGTCAGTTCTACTTTTGCTCAAAGATTGCCGCCACTGGTAATCAAATCATATTGCCACTACATGCGTAAGAGTTAAAAAAAATCAGCAGGAAAAGGAATTTAATAAAAATGACTAAAAAAAACCATTCAAATTCACCTTAATTGTGACCTTGACAATCTTTGCTCCACTACTACTATAGGTATCTCATTTCTTCTGGCTATGACCTGACCCACTAATATATACAATGATATTGAATAAAAAACAAAATCTTGCCCTCAGGTCTTTTAATTTGAAATGTAGCTATGAGTGGACAATTAAATACCAGATCCTAGCAAGTCAACAGAAGGGAGGGGAGCAAGCAATCAGTGCACACATCACTCCTTACTTGGGTTTGAACTTGCGACACATGTTCCACATGCGAACTGTCTTCTGCACTCTCACCAGCATGTCACGGCGATAATTTATCTTGTTTTTCACTGAAACGAGTTATATAACGATAAAAATACTGAAAACTCGAGCAGGAGTAGTCAATGTTCTTCATTCTTATCTCTCATTACAACGTTTACTTTAAAATTAGGCTTCCTACATCATGCATCCAACTTTTCTTATACCCACATGAAAAATTATGCATGGAAGGGACCCACATGACAGTTTCTTTGCAAGTACTTTTTAACTACTAAGCGGAAATGTGTTCAAAAGGTGTACCTTTTTCAATGCCAAGATCATGATACTGTTTATAAAAAAACGAACGTTTGGACTATTGTTGCAAACCACAAATTAAGCAGGAGGATGAGACACCTTGTTAGCAATATTTACTTTTATGCAAGTTTTTTTCACTTTTGTAATTGGAAAAAAATATACTAAAACCATTCTACTGACTGACCACAGCGCAAACAAAGACTCACATTTAATGACTGACAGAGCACACCATTGTGCCTTTCTCCAGCGCGAACACAGCAACCACCTTTTCACCTTCTTCACCAACTCAGCTAAATTTTCTGGATCACTTTTCAAAATCTGATCAAACTCTGCAAATTTTCCTGGTCGGAAGAAGACCTTGGTCAAACCAAACTTGAAATCATTTTCATCCAGACCTAGAGCTCTGAAGAGTGACTGTGGATAATAAATAATAATCCGAGTATTACAATATTAGCGACATAAAACTACAGACATTTGCTTGTCTGTTTATTATACTGCATGATGGACTCAGACAGACATTAAAGTCACATTTCTTCTCACCTTGCAGAACAGCCGTGGATCTAGTCGAGATAGCTCTGGGGGCAGGTACCTCTTGTACATGTTGTACAGCTCCGAGAACTGGGTGCGGGATGGGTAGCCCTGCTGCATGAGGTCCAGCACCGAGATCATACCTGTAGAAACAACAGACTGAACAACAGGCTGAACAACATACTGTACAACCACCTGAACAACAGGCTGAACAATATACTGTACAACCACCCGAACAACAGGCTGAACAACATACTGTACAACCACCTGAACAACAGGCTGAACAACATACTGTACAACCACCACCTGAACAACAGGCTGAACAACATGCTGAACAACAGGCTGAACAACATACTGTACAACCACCACCTGAACAACAGGCTGAACAACCTACTGTACAACCACCCGAACAACAGGCTGAACAACATACTGTACAACCACCTAAACAACAGGCTGAATAACATACTTTACAACCACCACCTGAACAACAGGCTGAACAATATACTGTACAACCACCTGAACAACATACTGTACAACCACCTGAACAACAGGCTGAACAACATACTGTACAACCACCTGAACAACAGGCTGAACAACATACTGTACAACCACCTGAACAACAGGCTGAACAATATACTGTACAACCACCTGAACAACAGGCTGAACAACATACTGTACAACCACCTGAACAACAGGCTGAACAACATACTGTACAACCACCTGAACAACAGGCTGAACAACATACTGTACAACCACCTGAACAACAGGCTGAACAATATACTGTACAACCACCTGAACAACAGGCTGAACAACATACTGTACAACCACCCGAAGAACAGGCTGAACAACAGACTGAACAACAGGCTGAACAACATACTGTACAACCACCAGAACAACAGGCTGAACAATATACTGTACAACCACCACAACAGGCTGAACAACATACTGCACAACCACCACCTAAACAACAGGCTGAATAACCTACTGTACAAACACCACCTGAACAACAGGCTGAATAACCTACTGTACAAACACCACCTAAACAACAGGCTGAATAACATACTGTACAACCACCACCTGAACAACAGGCTGAACAACATACTGTACAACCACCAATTGAACAACAGGCTGAACAACATACTGTACAACCACCTGAACAACAGGCAGAACAACCACCTAAGTGAGTTTGATTTTAGGCCACTTTTAGCAATATTCCAGCAATATCATGGTGGGGGACACCAGAAATGGGCTTCACACATTGAACCCATGACACAACTGTACCACATACTGTACAACAGACACACCTGTACCACATACTGTACAACAGACACAACAGTACCGCATAGAGTACAACAGACACAACTGTACCACATACCGTACAACAGGCACAACTGTACCACATACTGTACAACAGACACAACTGTACCGCATAGAGTACAACAGACACAACAGTACCACATACCTTACAACAGACACAACTGTACCGCATACTGTACAACAGACACAACTGTACCGCATAGAGTACAACAGACACAACAGTACCACATACCGTACAACAGACACAACTGTACCGCATACTGTACAACAGACACAACTGTACCGCATAGAGTACAACAGACACAACAGTACCACATACCGTACAACAGACACAACTGTACCGCATACTGTACAACAGACACAACTGTACCACATACTGTACAACAGGCACACCTGTACCACATACTGTACAACAGACACAACTGTACCGCATAGAGTACAACAGACACAACTGTACCACATACTGTACAACAGGCACAACTGTACCACATGCTGTACAACAGACACAACTGAACCGCATACTGTACAACAGACACAACTGTACAACAAACTGTACAAGAAATTTAAGAACTGATATGAACTACAGAAAACATACATGACCTCATACAAACTGTTTCTCTAGGCAGTTGTATCTAAGGAAGGACATACCTGCACACTGAAGCTGGCTGAGGATCATACCCCCTTCAAACATGTGGTCCACCATCTTACTGTTAGGCTTGATACACCGGATAAAGTTGGTGCCCTTAAAAAAAGTACACAAATTTAACATTTCCACTGTTAATTTAGTATATACGTAATATGTGTATCTGACAGTCATTTACTACATAAGAAGCCTCATCACACACTTACTGTGCTTCGTAGCTTGTCCATCAAAACAGTCAGTTGTTTTCGGAACTTGGTTCCGACACTTATGAAGCCAAGTTTTCCAGAAGTAACCTCCATGCCCTCAAACAACTTTCTAAGCAGGGTATTCTTACTTTCTTGGACCAGAAACTGTAAGGATGCATGCAGAGCATCGTTGTTTTTCTCAATAAACTGAACCTGCCAAAGTAAATAAACACCTCATATAAGAGTATGACAAATACAAACACATGCATATCATACAGTAGTGAACTCCCATTTGTAAACAGGTTTTGAATGAGATGTATATGCGGCCATTCGGTCAAAAAATACAAAGTTGAATTAAAGGACAAAAGTAAGCAATAATAGTCAAATGTTATGTATAAAGTATTAACTGTTACCAAAAAAGGGTTGACATCATATATGTATAATGTAAAATGTATAATGTATAATGTACACATTGTGTATATATACATGTTGCGTTTGTGCATTGGCATCGGGGAAAGGGACTTTTTGCTTGGTGCAACATGAGGGTGTTCTGATGCCAAGTTATGTTTCAGACACACATTTTCATGACATCTGAAAAGTGAACGTTGTGAGAGAATTGCGCACGGTGTCTACCTCATTTATGGCAAGCTATTTTTCTTTTCGAATGTTCAACGTTATACAAATGCATACAAATCCATTTGATATATATTTTTGTCGTTCAGATTTTAGGCAGCATCTTGTTCGCTCAGTTTCAAAAAAGAGCTGCTAAATAAAACAAAATTTTGTACAGTACTCTCATCGGTTTATGATAATAAGTGGCAAAATTTGCTGTTTTTAACTCAAAACAAAATCTCAGACTCTCTCAGTGTCTCTTTTTCAAATTGGTTTAATATTTAATTTGCAGTTGCTTTAACACCACACCATCCACGGGAAAGTGAACATTTTACATCTCTGCATAATTTCATAGTGCCACAAACAACATCAAATGTAGTACATGGCAGGAAGTTTTATTACATACAAATATTTACATACAAACATTTGGCATAACGTGGGGGCTACCTCGGTTGCCTATTGAGACCCTGGGGTCGAGGTGACCCGGGTTGACACCCTGGGGTCGTGGTGACCCGGGTAAGATGACTGAATGTCCTGTGGTCTTAGGGACCCGGACTGTGTAGCTGTGGGAGGGATATGTCAGTCCCGGACGATCCCTAGAGATAAGCTGGTCCTGGTCGTGCTGACCAGACAGTGCCGAAATAGGGTAATGTTCTTTGGTGGTAGCCTTCCATGCTCTGCGTATGGAGTGGCTTATATGACACCGAGGCAGCCCCAGAAGATAGAGATATATATATATGTAAGCTAAGGGGTGGCTGGAAGGTAACACCGTTGAGTGGCTTGCAACAATGGAGAAAGTAACCTCGTGCGGGGCTGATGGGTTAATAAACGTAAACACTGTGACGTCATGTCCGTCTTACTGGGCATGCGCAGACTGTTTGGAAGTGTATTGTGGGAAGGAATTACTGTAACATGATCCAGACGGAATGAAAACACATTCAGTTTTAAGAAATCGTGTTGAATATAACAGTAATGAGGTGATTGACCTGTAATTGGTAGATTAAATATGAACGAGTAAGTACTGTTGTTGTTGCACAAACTAAAATATCAAATTACCATGTTGACACAGCTCCTAGCAAGCCCAATTCTCGCACAACATTCACTTTTTAGATGTAATAAAATTGATGTTATACATTATTTACAGACCAACGTCATTGCTGGAGTTTTGCTGAGTGCGGCGTTGACAACAAATAATCAAAAACGAACAACATTGTGCACCTCAGCATGCACTTATCATATACACAGCGGAACAAGCCGATTAAATTCGGAATGTTTTACAAATTGCAGCGCCATCTGGCGTTCTTTATTGTCAATGTCCTATAGGAGTTCTGTAATTCATGCACACCGACGTTCTTTCGTACACATTGTTCTTTCTTTTCATAACATTTGACTATCAATATTGCGTACTTTTGACCTTTATTTCAACTTTGTATATTTTAGCTGGCGTCTGTTTCATATTTGACCTTTATTAACATTTTATACTTTATTCATACTTTTGTCCTCTATTTTACCGAATGGCCGCCTATGGACATGGTTCCTTTGGAAAACAAAGAAAAAATATCACACTAAGACACTGTTGCTCAAAAGGTACATTCAAAATGAACTGCGTCTTTCATGTCGTGAACCGTTAGCCATAAAAGTAAAGGGAAATGTGTCTGACTGTGTAATGCGGTCTGTTTCATGAGAGAGGACAGTATGATCCCAATGTGACATCCTTGAAACTATATCCCCAACGTCTTCCCACATTCCTTAGAAGGGGAAGTTTATCAGACTGACTTTACTGGGTTATCCTGAAAGGAGGACACTTCAGATGAAGAACTAGTCATGGATGAATGTATAGCTGTCAACTTCTCCGGAAATTGCAGACAGGATCGACATCTGGAGCCTGGATGTCCCACGGAGCTATGATTCAGGTCTTCATTTCATGATTACTATATACTGTCTCCCTTGTAACACATCCAATCCCCAAAGTATCTCACTATGTAGCATCTGCTGTATTTGATCCATGCCAACAGCTGCCACATCCCCCGTAAAGGCCAACCTCCCGAGAGTCATCTTCACTTGCACAGTTCCTGGAAAACTGCATGATGTACACTAAACTACGATTAAAACTGACTCAAAGGGGCCATTAATTTTAGTTTGTTATAAACGTAGTTCGTTAGAAGCATTCTGACTAAATTATACTGCAAAAAACAGTTTGCTCTATCTGTCAGTTCCTTATTTGCATGTTCATTATAAAAGTAGTTTACTGTATCTGCAAAAACGAGAGAACCATGTGATGGAAATGCCCTTGATCCAGTAGCTGAAGCCTGTGTAGTACTGTTTTAGGCGGAGAGCCAAACAGAATCTGAGCTGGAGCCAGCAAACTCCGCCAATAGCGTACCGGGTCCAGGGTAAAACATGGGTCCAGGGTAAAACATGGGTCCAAGATCATAAGCTGGCCAAGAGTTGAGCTAGACGTCACAACATCGGCTTTAAGAGTGTAGACTGGATAGAACAGGGTCCTTGGAGAACTGTCAGAACTGCACAAGGTCTAGGGTTAGCTGTCGCCAGCAGGAAGTAAGTCGGGAGTCCAGAGTCAAGAGTCCAGAGTGGGGGGAAAAACATCAGGTCTGTACCAGACCTCAGCATTATAATTGGCACAAGGAATGATACTAGAATTACTTGTTACATCAGCACCCATGTCTTTCCTTCTCTGTTTATTTGTTCCTTCATGAGGTCAGACATCACAACAATGATTTAAGCCACCACATCATCCATCAACTGAGGGATTGTCAAATAAAATGGCTGTGACTCAGACAAATTCTGCGTCTAATGTTACAAAATTTTGCTGTACATTCTGTGGTAAAACCATTTCCTCCTAAAAATTTAATACAAACTCATTTCTTTTTCTTTGAAAGTTTTAATCCCTTGCATTTAGACATTTCAGATTTGGTTTAATACCGTATGTCAAGGGTGAGGGAGCTGTGGAGGGAGTTTCCTGTGGACAGTTATCATTGGATAAGACTTAAACAGGATAAGACTTACAGTGTCAATGTTCTTGTTTATGGCTAGATGAAAACATAGTTTAAGTAGTCATTATACCAAAATAAATTTTGAAAGTGAGAATTATTTGTTTCAAGTTATGTTTTATTATAGTATTCATATTTTGTATGTATGAATCACATGTTACATGTTTGGGCATCATTCAAGTGAAAAATAATGACAATTAGTGTATTGACTGACAAAAAAAATAGTCCAATTCCACAATGTTTCTGCATTTCTGCGATAAGTTGTATTTTCTACAAATCTAACAGCTATCAAGGAACAACAGACTTTGTCAGTGGCTGAAAGACGTGCCCATCCACTGGGGAAGGATCTCTACTTACGGGTAATAATATACAAGACAAAAAGTGAGCAAGGCTCACTCATAACCCCAACTCCAACATATTTTTAAGTTCAACACATGAAAAAAGGAATATTTTCTCAGAACATCCACTTATCGAACTCAAAACTTTGCACTGCACCCAATTGGAAGAGAATCCATGAAGTAGTTTTCAAGTTATAGGTTGCACAAATGTTGAAGTAAAAAAAGTTCACAACATCAAAAAACATCCTCTTTTTTCAGAGAATACACATATCAAAGTTAAAGTTTGCACTTCACCCCTTCTATTACTAAGGAAACTGTTCCCTAAATTTAGAAATAAGAATCCATGAAATAGTTTTCAAGTTACGGGTCACTAAAATGTTTCAGTAAACAAATCCTTAGTAAAAAAATTACAAATAGCTCATATAGTTACTTTTTTTTACGAAAATCCATATATTGAAATCAAACTTCGCACTGCACCTCTCCTATAGGAATAAAAAGTGTTCCCCACTTTTGGAGAGAATCTATGCAGTAGTTTTCAAGTCATAGGTCACATAAAAAATATCCTTGGAAGGACGGAGGGACAAATGGAATATAACTTTCTACCCCCACCCTTTAGGTCAGGGGTATAAAAAATACCACCAAGGCACTGTTACTGACCAGGTACAATCAAAGTGAGCTAAATGCTTAGCCTTCCAAAAAGAATAGCGTGTCTGCTAATCTGGCTTTGTAATGTGGTCTGTATGATTCAAGGATATAACTGTGTTATACATTAACAGTGCTAAATTGAATCTACAGGCACCATGCTATAAGCTCTCTTAAACCTGAACTCTTCAGAGGAATAACTTAAACAGATTACACATTAAATGTAAACAATTGCAGGGACATCAATGTATGTCTTCTATGGATCTTTTCTTTGCTTCTTATCTGATAAGTCTATAATGTTAATTGATGGGAACCTTATTAGGAACCTTTCACATTTTCATCTCAACAGTTTGCTATAATTGTGTATTCACATATTTTTTTTACCTTATGCATGGACTTTCACGACTGCATCTGAGCTTATACAATAACTCACGACCAATCTTTGCACCACATTATAATCATGTGTGGCATCAGGCTGCTCCAACAATAAAATGTTATACATTTGTAGTAAACATGACATACCGTGTGGTAGCAAACAGCACCAGCAAAGTGTTTGATGAGGAAACCTTGGTCATCTTTCACCTCTCGATGAGACTTCAGCTTGGACTTTCGAGGAACCTGTAGTACACACAAATAACAGTTTCAACATCTCAATAACTTTTCCCAGTTGAGATACCTCGGGTCTGCTTGACAACATGTCTTTCTTGAGTACTTCCCATTCAAGTTGTTTCTTTGTTTGTTGTTTAATGTCGCACTCAGCAATATTTCAGCTGGTAAATAATTGAGTGTAAACCAGACAATCCAGTGATTGACACCATGAGCATCCAGGCAATTGGGATACGATGGCATGCATCAAGTAAGTCAGCGAGCCTGACCACACGATCCTGTTAGTCGCCTCTTACAACTAGCATAGTCGCCTTTAACGGCAAGCATGCGTTGCTGAAGACCTATTCTACCCCGGGCCCATTTAATGTTATACAGGATGCAACAAAATATGAATGTATACACTTCTAGACTTACACTTAGCCGGAAGTGATTCTTGTTTCGACCATGCACCTCATGGGTAAAGTGGTCAGGTTTTGGCGTAGGCAATTTGCTTTCCTCATCCAGAAGGTCAAAGATACCACTGCTTTTGCCTTCAATCAAATCTAAAAAGAAGTACACAAAGAATAAATCCATTGATTCATTCAAGATGACATCATAAACCATAGTATTTAAACAAACATAGCGAATCAGAGTATTAGCCTTATTTATGTACTTATCCTGACACAACAGTATGCAATATTACTTCTTGCTTTGATTATATAACAGCGTAGAATATTGTGAAAACAATAATCACCAGAACACACCCTCTGATTACATCGCTCCCAGCATGCTCCTGAACTTTTCATCACTTTTTTGCATGAACACCCGTCAACAGTTATCCCACAGTAGGAAGGTGGGTTGGATCAACTGCATATCCCCATTTGCAATTGAGTGGTCCGGCCCATGCATGGACTGAAATTATGTTGCAACTGGAGGTACTCATAAGATCGGCAACCGTAGTTACCCTCACGAAAGGTTGTACCCTTGAAACGGAGTTTAATGCAATCATTCCGTAGAAAGAAAGAACAAACATGCAGGTGTACCGGTATGGGCATCCAGAATGGCAGTCGTTCCGTTCTATGGGTAGGGATGACAAGTTGTTGCGCAATGATGAGAGGATCCAGCTGGTTGAATCCCTCGACATCCTCAACAAACAGATCTCGGAGGCAGAAGTTGGTGAAAGTAGAGTTGGTTTGCCAAAAACAACCTGTGACAGAGCTGTTTGTGTGTAGTGCCATTTTGAACGCCAGCGCTCGAATTATAAGTGGATGGGAAGCTCAAGGCAGATCCAAACAGCATAGGCATGAGCCTGAAGAATGGTGGAACATAACCAAAACAACAGGATATTTTTGGGAGATATTCCTACAACTCTCTTCGGTGTTCGGGTGGAAAAGGCGTTTACGTTGATGCCAAAAACGATGAGTGACTTCAATATAATGACGTAATGCACCAACAGGGCAAGGGGACCAGACCCAACGATCTTAGTCAGCGGGATGATAGTGAAAGTGTGATCCACCTGACCTGACCAGGCAATTGATTTTTAGCAATAAAGGCCCCACAGTTAGCTAAGATGAACCTCCACATGTGGACCACAGTCAAACTTGATTTGTGGAGTTCACTGACATGTGCCGCAGTTGCCAAGGACAGAAGAGAGGCAGTTTTCTGTGTAAAGAGGTTCATAGGGAGAAACAAGGAGGTGATGTAGATCCAGTACCAAGTCCCAGGCTGGAGGGCTGATAGGCCTTACGGTAACCCCGTAGGATAGCGGCGAGTTCAGGAGCAGTGGCGCTACGGGTAGAAAGGGAGGCACCAAGGACTGAGTTAATGGCAATGTTACCGCCGGACAAATGTTTTGTCTCATGTAAATAGACTAAACAGAGTAGAAGCCACAGTGGGATCCATATCATGTTGAAAACAATAAGCCTCAAAAGATAACCATTTCTGCTCATACAAGGAGGTCGTAGAAGTGCGGTGTGTCTGATGAACAGCAAGAGCCATCGCTGTAGAGAAACCCCTAGTTGTCAATGCGCTCTGCAAATGGACCACACACATAGATCCCACATTTCTGGGCACAGGTGTGGTTGACAAGTGTGTGGATTTCTGAGCAGACCGGAGTTATTACGCTCCTCAGACATATTTAACTCAAATCAGACAAATCAGTTTATTAGCTCTACTTAATTAAAAAGGATAGAAAAGCAACACATTATATGTATGACTTGCATAAACTTGTGGTGTGTTCCATGAGACAACATAACTTGTCAATTCCTAAATTATCTCCCTGGTGAACGAAAATTAGTGTCACTTTCAAATTTTGAAAAAAGAATTATGGATCTAGACAGATTAAAAAAAATAATTACATCATCTAAATATAGAATACTAAACGAGCTCCCGTGTAATACCAATTTTATGAAACTCGTGAATAGTTGCGGTATCTGACGAGCGAAAGCAAGTCAGATACCACAACTAGTCACGAGTTTCATAAAATCTGTTTTACACGGGAGCTCGTTTAGTATTTTATTTATTACTTGCCATTTATAACTTTTTAGAATTTTACTGTTGAGTGTGAATAGGCTGACACCTACACGACCCACGGCATAATCCAATTGTGTCCAACATAATAATACTTCAAACACTTCAAAAGTTGAAACGTATGAATTTAATACCATACAACGGTCTACCTTCAGAATTCAGGCATCTGTTCCACAAAACTATAGTAGCGCTAAGGTTATCGCAACTCACATACCTTAACTTAGGCAAACGACTGTCGTTGCGATACAGTACGATCGCCTTGTGGAACGGGGCCTTGCACCTCAAAGTTTACAATCACGTCTCAAAACACGATGACGTAATTTGTGAAATTTTGTTGCAAGATCCATCGGCGAAACAATGCCATGTGACGTCAGCCTAGCAACAAGGTTGCTGGGGTCATCGAGTGTGCATAAGCTCCTCTCAGTGATCTATCATCTCCACACACAATGTCGTTGAATAAACCAAGGGATGTCGAGAGCTTTCAATATTTGTTCGTTAAACGTGTTCCGAGAGTACATAAGCACGCATTTTGGTATTACACAATGTGTAATACAGCTGTATGTTTATTAAACGTGTGATCTCTTGACGGGCAAGAAATAAATACAAATAGCTTGACATTGTATTTGAGACTAAACAAGCTTACATTGTCATTATAAGTCACTCTTAGATGCACTGCTTCCTGAACAATTTTTGTTTTGAGTGTTTCCAGGGTATCATGTTGGGTGTTTCCTCTATAAACTTGACTTTTGACATAAACACAAAAAAACAAGCTGTATACATCACGTAACATCAGACTTGAACACGCATCTTAAATGCTTAACGCCAACTGTTCGATCAAAGGTCTCATCATTGTCATTTAGAATAACTTCCTTTACTTTCGTCCTTGACTTTGTATGCGATTTGTTTACATGAAGTTTGGCGAGCTTGTAAGAGGACCATTTAAAGGGAAAATAGTAAAGCATCTTTTTGCACATTATTTCAGTTCTAATAGCTATAGTGTGGCAACACTACACTTATTGATTATAACATTTATTGGGTTTGAAAAATGCCTTTGCATGGCACCCGAATGCTATGTGTGTTTGGGTAGTCTTGCCATCTTTTATCATAAGAACAAAACATCTACATGTAGGACATATGTAAGGAATGTCACTCAAATAGGTGCGTGTCAAACAGTGTGACCTGACAATATGAACATGAGTGAGTGAGTTAATTTAAAGTCACATCGGCAATATTTCAGCCATATCGTGATAATATGAACATGAATTCTGTGTCACTTCTCCATGTTTTCAGTCAGAGACTGGGAAATCCTCGTGACGTCACTGTCAGAACCAATGACCAAATTTCAGGACCACTAGACATAAGGGATCTATCATCTATCTTGAGGCACGAAGAAGAGGAACGACCCATAGTTTTAGCATCATCTGCATCAAGGGAAGGTGCTGAAGTTGGATTTGATATCCAAGCAATTGAAAGCGGGACGACGTGATGGCGGGTTTGGGAAGTGAATCCTTGAGGGCTACCTTATCCAAAGCCCGCTGCAAAGCAGAGGAATACCGTCGACAAAATGATGAACAGGGACCATATAAGATGGCGTAATACTCTTGGGATCATTTCGCAGAAGGCAGTGGGATTGGCTCTTCGAGTTTAAGGACATCCATGATCAACAGGATCCAGTCCTTAGAGCTTTCGAGTGGCTGCTTCTCAGCTTTACACTAGTCGCCGAACAATAAGAGGAGGCCCTCGGCAAAGAACACACATGCTTGGAAACCCTGTCAGGAGACGACGAAGAACGGGATCTGGAATGCCGAGCAGGAGAGACACAATCAACCCGAGACGCTTGATCAGATGTGATGGATGACAACGGAAGTAGGGGGGCATCCCGAGGAGACGAGAGTGGTAACTGTAGTACCGCACTTACATCCATGGTGGTTTGTTTGTTTAATGCTGCACTCAGCAATATTCCAGCTACAGTCAAGTCTCGTTAATCCGACACTCGTTAATCCGACACTCGTTAATCCGACAATCGGCTTTATCCGACACTAATGATGGGAACCAATTAAATCAGTGCTATTTAGACCCGTTAATCCGACAGTCTCGTACTCCGACTCTGACACCCTAATTTGCAACGAATTACCGAAATCACTCATTAATCAGTAGCTGCATATTACAAAGCTGCAGAGATAAACTTGCTTAACAATAAACAATTAAAGCTTTAAATAAAGAAAACAGGATAATTCACATGCTTAGATTACCTCAATCTTATTAAAACAAGTATTTGTCACAGAGTGACGAAATATCCCCCGCCTGTACACCATACTACCAAATATGAAGACAATCCAGCGATTAGTTCTTGAGATATTGTTCTTGTGGCAACACCGTTTTCTAACTCCAAAAACAGATTTGCCTGCTGTGACCTTGAAAATGGGGTCAAGGTCACCAAATCTGACAGGTGTATGCGGTGTCTGTATATACACTATAGTTCCAAATATGAAGACAATCCAGTGTTTAGTTCTTGAGATATCGCGGCAACACCGTTTTCCAACTCCAAAAGCAGATATGCCTGCTGTGACCTTGAAAATGGGGTCAAGGTCACCAAAACCGACTGGTGTCTGCGGAGTCTGTATATACACCATAGTTCCAAATATGAAGACAATCCAGTGTTTAGTTCTTGAGATATCGCGGCAACAAACAGGTGGGACGTACGTACGGACAGACGGACGTACGGACGGACGTACGGACGGTCGTGAATACTATATGCCCCGCTTCGCGCTTTCGCGCGGCGGGGGATAATCAGATACAAGTTCTCGCTATCGACGAGGCCATCCCATTACAAGTCACGTCAGAACAACCTTTCGCGAACTATGACCAACCAATGAAATGACCAACAGGAAGACGACGTTAGCCACTTAGAAAGCAGCTTTCTTAAGCTTTGGGTACCAGTTTCAAAGTTGCGACTTCCATTCCAGACTATGCTTTTTAAAGTATTTTGAATTTGTCATACAGTCCGTAACAGTTGTTTTGTGTTAAACTTTAGAGGTTGCATGATTAGAAAACATATTCAGCCAACAATGTAACATAACAATATGAATATATATTTTATATTTTTTATAACGTGTTTGAATCCTTATCTATTGTGTAGTTATCTGATTTTCGATCACGAACGTTGATACTATTAAATTTCGTTTATCCGACATACTCGTTAATCCGACACAATCATATGCAACCATCGATGTCGGATTAATGGGACTTGACTGTATATGACGGCAGTCTGAAAGTAATTGAGTCTGGACCAGACAATCCAGTGATTGACAACATGAGCATCGATCCATGTAATTTGGATGACATGCATCAACCAAGTCAGCGAGCCTGACCACCCAATCCCGTTAGTCGCCTCTTACAACAAGCATAGTCGCCTTTTATGGGAAGCATGGCTTGCTGAAGACCTATTCTACCCCGGATCTTCACAGGCCTGACAACCATGTCCATACGTGCATCCTGAGGAGAGGTCACCAGTGTTGAGCCGACCCGTGGCAGAGTCTGCGATGGCTGCTCCTGAGAAGTCGTGGGAACAGGAGGCGATGGTGGCTGAAGAGCTTGTGCTTGTTGGGGTAAAATTGGCACCCCGAATGGCTGTGGATAAGCAGGGTGAAGCAAAATCCAAGACTGATAACCCTGTACCTGGATAAGCAGGGTGAAGCAAAATCCAAGACTGATAACCCTGTGAGTGAGTGAGTGAGTGAGTGAGTGAGTGAGTGAGTGAGTGATATTGTGGGAGGAAAGCCTGAAGTGATGCAGGTCTCAGACGTTTACCACTTCGGTGAAAACTAAAGGCACGGGTATGGTGCTGACAGACCTAGAAACATAGTCAGGGTGAACCGGAATTCGAACCCACAATCATAGGTTTCTGGTGTGCCCAAGGGACACAACTCTGCACAGCAAATCGCGGCGCCTTAGATGACTGGGCCAACGTGCCCCCACCTGTGTATGAAACGCTTGAGGAGGCGCCTAAGCCACGCGAGGATGTGCCGGGAGAGGAGCCAGAAAGGAAGGCGCCTGATGAGGCGCCTGAAGAATCCAGTTCAACTGACATGATGGGCTGCAAGGCGGCAATTGCCAACAGGCATCAATGACAGACGACAGAAGGCGAGGTGACGTGGCAGCTGAAGAGGTACAAGTAGTTATGGCAGGTGCCATCGTAATACCCATGGGACAAGTTCCTGAGCAAACAGATACGAGGGGGGATGACCATGTAAGAGACGTCGAACCAGACGAGGTAGCCCCAAGGATGGATCCACCTGATGACAAGCCCGTAGCCGTAGCCGAGGCAGTGGAGGTGACAGTCGCAGGCTTACGAGAGGGATTCGAAGTCTGGTGCTGTAGTTGTTGGTGAACCATTTTCCGTAGTTTAGCTAGGTAAACGTTAAAAAGGTCAGTTGATCAGTGGGTACATTCAGAGCATCGTGGCTTCAAGGAGCAGGGAACCTGACAGTCAGAGCAAAGGTTGTTAGGATCATAAGCTGATTTCTTCCCATGGCAGTCCATGTACTTTCGAAGATGGAGAAGGTCGTCGTCAACCCCCGACACCATCTCCTACATAATCATGTCATCCATAATATCTCAAAATCTACAAACAGAAAATGGACAATATAATGAACTTTAAACAAAATGGAGCCGTTTGCGTTAAAACTAGGGAGGCATAAAAACACGGAAACCAAAACGGAGCTTTCACGTGCCGAGAGTTATAACAATGGCGGGGAAAGAAACGTTTGAGGAAAGTAAGTAGCCGTTATTTGAGATATTTATTGATAAGGAACAGCGATGGACCCATTGATAAATGTACATAGGGAGATATTCAATTCAAACTGAAATGACAAACAAATCCAATCCTAATTGTGGAGTGGAAGCAAACACATCTGTTCACTGCAGGCGATGAAGGAAAAAGTGAAGTACAGGAGCATGCTGGAAGTGAGGTGGTTGGAGGGTGTGTTCGGGTGATTGATGTTATCTACATTGTTCTCCACTGGTTTACGATCGAAGCAAGAAGGAACATGCACACTATTGTGGAGGGAAAAAAAGTTTAAAAATATATCTGTCCTAAAGTCAGTTCATTAAAAACTAGAAAAACATTGTTATTAAACCTACATTTTGAAAAGTTCAGTTTTACAAATTGAAAATTAGTCAGGTAATCACAGCATTTCAGCTTAGAGGAGGGTACTCTAAAATGATAAGATTATAAATAATAAGAGATGCCAAGGTATGAACCTGAGTAGGCCATGATCAAATGAAGCTGCCAGCTGAAGGTCTCATCAACTTACTGCCCCTTAGATAACAGACACCCATGACACCTTTTAAGATTTAAGCTCATAAAATAGCAACAGACCTACAAAATGCACACATAACATTAAACAAATGGAAGACTGCAACAACACATTTGATATATTTAAAATGAGCCCACTGAAGTAGCAATCAGCTCGTCTATTATTTTTTCATTACAACTCTGAAGAGCAAATCAGGGGCAACAATTAAATCCTAGATTTATCTAGAGCTATCTACCAATGCAATCCTGGTTGTCCGTCCAATTGATCTTCTTCACATTCAGACCTTCCTTCTCATACAAAACTTGTTCCTGAAATGAGGAAACAGAAAAATTAAACCAAACAATACAATACACATGAAGTTCATGATCTCTTGATAGTAATAATATCCTGGTAATAGTAATGGTTGGTATGCCTGCACAAACCCAACTCCAAAACACATGTGGGAATGATCTTAAACAAGTAGGAAGTTGCTTGACTGAGTGAAAAAGATGGTGTTGTCTGAAGCCCTGCTACAGGAGGCCATACACAGTAGTGGTGGTGACAATTAATTTCATTTAGTACTAAGTGCCAAATGTCTTTATAGCATGTATCCAAACTAGAGGTTAATTACTGCCGTAAACTGAACCACCCTTGTAACTAAACCAGGCCAGCACTCTGCGCCTGTGCCAAGACCACTAGTTTACATGCTTGGGGGCCACAAGCGTCATCCATCCTTTGTTCCATCGTCTCTAGTCGGTCATTTTCATGCCTCTTTCCATATTTCATCCTGTATTTGTGCATTTCATTTTCAATTTTCTTTTGTTCTTTTCTTCTTTGAGTGTTTTTTTCAGTATGAGTGTATTTCAGTAACCAGCAGAGCAGCTTGTATATATGTAAATAAACCAGTACATATATAATTAAATTGGGTTCAACAAGTCTTGTATATATGTAAATGAATATGTTTTTACAATACCTGTATATATGTGATGGCCTGTCTCAACAATAAACAATGTCATGGTGTGTGTGGCTCTTGGGGGCTAACCATGCTAGTAACAAATTAACTTGTTACCAACTACTTGCATTAAATCCCACCCGGTTTCAGTGGGAACCTTTCCAGGGGTACCTGCTTCTCAGTGGGAACCTGGTCTTTCCCCAACTTGTGGAATCGTAACATGGCTTCCGTTGAGCAACCAATTGCCAGGTATATTGGCCTGCTCTGAACAGCATTACAGTAACATCTCAGATGATTTACACTTTGATGAAATCCCCAGCATGGGCGCTGACAATGAAACATAATCAGGAGGGATCTGGGATTTGAGCACACAATCATAGGATTACTTCAAGCTTTCACACCGGACAGAAAGCAACAAGCCTTACTTCAAGCCTTTATACAGGACTGAAAGCAACAAGCCTTACTTCAAGCCTTTACACAGGACTGAAAGCAACAAGCTTTACTTCAAGCCTTTACACAGGACAGAGAGCAACAAGCCTTACTTCAAGCCTTTACACAGGACAGAGAGCAACAAGCTTTACTTCAAGCCTTTACACAGGGCAGAAAGCAACAAGCCTTACTTCAAGCCTTTACACAGGACAGAAAGCAACAAGCCTTACTTCAAGCCTTTACACAGGGCAGAAAGCAACAAGCCTTACTTCATGCCTTTTACACAGGACAGAAAGCAACAAGCCTTACTTCAAGCCTTTATACAGGCCCGAAAGCAACAAGCCTTACTTCAAGCCTTTACACAGGACTGAAAGCAACAAGCCTTACTTCAAGCCTTTATACAGGACCGAAAGCAACAAGCCTTACTTCAAGCCTTTACACAGGACTGAAAGCAACAAGCCTTACTTCAAGCCTTTACACAGGACTGAAAGCAACAAGCCTTACTTCAAGCCTTTACACAGGGCAGAAAGCAACAAGCCTTGCAAAAAGCCTTTACACAGGACAGAAAGCAACAAGCCTTACTTCAAGCCTTTATACAGGACCGAAAGCAACAAGCCTTACTTCAAGCCTTTACACAGGACTGAAAGCAACAGGACTTACTTCAAGCCTTTACACAGGGCAGAAAACAACAAGTCTTACTTCAACATCTTATACAGGAAAAAAAACAAGTTCTACTTCAACATCTTATACAGGACAGGAAACAGCAAGTCTTACTTCAACATCTTATACAGGGCAGGAAACAGCAAGTCTTACTTCAACATCTTATACAGGACAGGAAACAGCAAGTCTTACTTCAACATCTTATACAGGGCAGGAAACAGCAAGTTTTACTTCAACATCTTATACAGGACAGGAAACAGCAAGTCTTACTTCGACATCTTATACAGGACAGGAAACAGCAAGTCTTACTTCAAGCGTTTACACGGGACAGAAAACAACAAGTCTTACTTCAACATCTTATACAGGGCAGGAAACAGCAAGTCTTACTTCAACATCTTATACAGGACAGGAAACAGCAAGTCTTACTTCAACATCTTATACAGGACAGGAAACAGCAAGTCTTACTTCAACATCTTATACAGGACAGGAAACAACAAGTCTTACTTCAACATATAACACAGGACGGGAAACAGCAAGTCTTACTTCAACATCTTATACAGGACAGGAAACAACAAGTTTTACTTCAACATCTTATACAGGACAGGAAACAACAAGTCTTACTTCAACATCTTATACAGGACAGGAAACAGCAAGTCTTACTTCAACATCTTAAACAGGGCAGGAAACAACAAGTTTTACTTCAACATCTTGTACAGGACAGGAAACAGCAAGTCTTACTTCAACATCTTATACAGGGCAGGAAACAACAAGTCTTACTTCAACATCTTATACAGGACAGAAAGCAACAAGTCTTACTTCCACATCTTATACAGGACAGGAAACAGCAAGTCTTACTTCAACATCTTATACAGGACAGGAAACAACAAGCCTTACTTCAAGCGTTTACACGGGACAGAAAACAACAAGCTTTTCTTCAAGCTTTTACACCGGACAGAAAACAACAAGCTTTTCTTCAAGCCTTTTACACAGGACTGAAAGCAACAAGCCTTACTTCATGCCTTTATACAGGACTGAAAGCAACAAGCCTTACTTCATGCCTTTACACAGGGCTGAAAGCAACAAGCCTTACTTAAAGCCTTTACACATGACAGAAAGCAACAAGCCTTACTTCAAGCCTTTACACAGGACAGAAAGCAACAAGCCTTACTTCATGCCTTTACACATGACAGAAAGCAACAAGCCTTACTTCAAGCCTCTATACAGGACTGAAAGCAACAAGCCTTACTTCATGCCTTTATACAGGACTGAAAGCAACACGCTTTACTTCATGCCTTTACACATGACAGAAAGCAACAAGCCTTACTTCAAGCCTTTACACAGGACAGGAAACAACAAGTCTTACTTCATGCCTTTATACAGGACTGAAAGCAACAAGCCTTACTTCATGCCTTTACACATGACAGAAAGCAACAAGCCTTACTTCATGCCTTTACACATGACAGAAAGCAACAAGCCTTACTTCAAGCCTTTACACAGGACAGAAAGCAACAAGCCTTACTTCATGCCTTTACACAGGACAGAAAGCAACAAGCCTTACTTCATGCCTTTACACATGACAGAAAGCAACAAGCCTTACTTCAAGCCTTTACACAGGACAGAAAGCAACAAGCCTTACTTCATGCCTTTATACAGGACTGAAAGCAACAAGCCTTACTTCATGCCTTTACACATGACAGAAAGCAACAAGCCTTACTTCAAGCCTTTACACAGGACAGAAAGCAACAAGCCTTACTTCATGCCTTTACACATGACAGAAAGCAACAAGCCTTACTTCAAGCCTTTACACAGGACAGAAAGCAACAAGCCTTACTTCATGCCTTTATACAGGACTGAAAGCAACAAGCCTTACTTCAAGCCTTTATACAGGACTGAAAGCAACAAGCCTTACTTCATGCCTTTATACAGGACTGAAAGCAACAAGCCTTACTTCATGCCTTTACACATGACAGAAAGCAACAAGCCTTACTTCAAGCCTTTACACAGGACAGAGAGCAACAAGCCTTACTTCAAGCCTTTACACAGGACAGAGAGCAACAAGCCTTACTTCAAGCCTTTATACAAGACAGGAAACAACAAGTCTTACTTCAACATCTTATACAGGACAGGAAACAACAAGTCTTACTTCCACATCTTATACAGGACGGGAAACAGCATGTCTTACTTCAACATCTTATACAGGAGAGGAAACAGCAATTCTTACTTCCACATCTTATACAGGACAGGAAACAGCAAGTCTTACTTCAACATCTTATACAGGACAGGAAACAGCAAGTCTTACTTCAACATCTTATACAGAACAGGAAACAGCAAGTCTTACTTCCACATCTTATACAGGACAGGAAACAGCAATTCTTACTTCAACATCTTATACAGGGCAGGAAACAGCAAGTCTTACTTCAACATCTTATACAGAACAGGAAACAGCAAGTCTTACTTCCACATCTTATACAGGACAGGAAACAGCAATTCTTACTTCAACATCTTATACAGGGCAGGAAACAGCAAGTCTTACTTCAACATCTTATACAGGACAGGAAACAGCAAGTCTTACTTCAACATCTTATACAGGACAGGAAACAGCAAGTCTTACTTCCACATCTTATACAGGACAGGAAACAACAAGTCTTACTTCCACATCTTATACAGGACAGGAAACAGCAAGTCTTACTTCCACATCTCATACAGGACAGGAAACAACAAGTCTCACTTCAACATCTTATACAGAACAGGAAACAGCAAGTCTTACTTCCACATCTTATACAGGACAGGAAACAACAAGTCTTACTTCAACATCTTATACAGGACAGGAAACAGCAAATCTTACTTCCACATCTCATACAGGACAGGAAACAACAAGTCTCACTTCAACATCTTATACAGAACAGGAAACAGCAAGTCTTACTTCCACATCTTATACAGGGCAGGAAACAGCAAGTCTTACTTCAACATCTTATACAGGACAGGAAACAGCAAGTCTTACTTCAACATCTTATACAGGACAGGAAACAGCAAGTCTTACTTCCACATCTCATACAGGACAGGAAACAACAAGTCTTACTTCAACATCTTATACAGAACAGGAAACAGCAAGTCTTACTTCCACACCTTATACAGGACAGGAAACAGCAAGTCTTACTTCAACATCTTATACAGGACAGGAAACAGCAAGTCTTACTTCAACATCTTATACAGGACAGGAAACAGCAAGTCTTACTTCAACATCTTATACAGGGCAGGAAACAGCAAGTCTTACTTCAACATCTTATACAGGGCAGGAAACAGCAAGTCTTACTTCAACATCTTATACAGGACAGGAAACAGCAAGTCTTACTTCGACATCTTATACAGGACAGGAAACAGCAAGTCTTACTTCAAGCGTTTACACGGGACAGAAAACAACAAGTCTTACTTCAACATCTTATACAGGACAGGAAACAGCAAGTCTTACTTCAACATCTTATACAGGACAGGAAACAGCAAGTCTTACTTCAAGCGTTTACACGGGACAGGAAACAACAAGTCTTACTTCAACATCTCATACAGGACAGGAAACAGCAAGTCTTACTTCAACATCTTATACAGGACAGGAAACAGCAAGTCTTACTTCAACATCTTATACAGGACAGGAAACAGCAAGTCTTACTTCAACATCTTATACAGGACAGAAAGCAACAAGCCTTACTTCAAGCGTTTACACGGGACAGAAAACAACAAGATTTTTCTTCAAGCTTTTACACGGGACAGAAAACAACAAGCTTTTCTTCAAGCCTTTACACAGGACTGAAAGCAACAAGCCTTACTTCATGCCTTTATACAGGACTGAAAGCAACAAGCCTTACTTCAAGCCTTTACACATGACAGAAAGCAACAAGCCTTACTTCAAGCCTTTACACAGGACAGAAAGCAACAAGCCTTACTTCATGCCTTTACACATGACAGAAAGCAACAAGCCTTACTTCGAGCCTTTACACAGGACAGGAAACAATAAGTCTTACTTCAACATCTCATACAGGACAGGAAACAGCAAGTCTTACTTCAACATCTTATACAGGACAGGAAACAGCAAGTCTTACTTCAACATCTTATACAGGACAGGAAACAACAAGTCTTACTTCAACATCTTATACAGGACAGGAAACAGCAAGTCTTACTTCAACAATTTATACAGGACAGGAAACAACAAGTCTTACTTCCACATCTCATACAGGACAGGAAACAACAAGTCTTACTTCCACATCTTATACAGGACGGGAAACAACAAGTCTTACTTCAACATCTTATACAGGACAGGAAACAACAAGTCTTACTTCAACATCTTATACAGGACAGGAAACAGCAAGTCTTACTTCAAGCGTTTACACGGGACAGGAAACAACAAGTCTTACTTCAACATCTCATACAGGACAGGAAACAGCAAGTCTTACTTCCACATCTTATACAGGACAGGAAACAGCATGTCTTACTTCAACATCTTATACAGGACAGGAAACAGCAAGTCTTACTTCAACATCTTATACAGGACAGAAAGCAACAAGCCTTACTTCAAGCGTTTACACGGGACAGAAAACAACAAGATTTTTCTTCAAGCTTTTACACGGGACAGAAAACAACAAGCTTTTCTTCAAGCCTTTACACAGGACTGAAAGCAACAAGCCTTACTTCATGCCTTTATACAGGACTGAAAGCAACAAGCCTTACTTCAAGCCTTTACACATGACAGAAAGCAACAAGCCTTACTTCAAGCCTTTACACAGGACAGAAAGCAACAAGCCTTACTTCAAGCCTTTACACAGGACAGAAAGCAACAAGCCTTACTTCATGCCTTTACACATGACAGAAAGCAACAAGCCTTACTTCAAGCCTTTACACAGGACAGGAAACAATAAGTCTTACTTCAACATCTTATACAGGACGGGAAACAACAAGTCTTACTTCCACATCTCATACAGGACAGGAAACAACAAGTCTTACTTCAACATCTTATACAGGACAGGAAACAACAAGTCTTACTTCCACATCTCATACAGGACAGGAAACAACAAGTCTTACTTCCACATCTTATACAGGACAGGAAACAACAAGTCTTACTTCCACATCTTATACAGGGCAGGAAACAACAATTCTTACTTCCACATCTCATACAGGACGGGAAACAACAAGTCTTACTTCCACATCTCATACAGGACAGGAAACAACAAGTCTTACTTCAACATCTTATACAGGACAGGAAACAACAAGTCTTACTTCAACATCTTATACAGGACAGGATTGAGTGAGTGAGTATGGTTTTACGCCGCTTTTAGCAATATTCCAGCAATATCATGGCCGGGGACACCAGAAATGGGCTTCACACATTGTACCCATGTCGGGAATCGAACCTGGGTCTTCGGCGTGACGAGCGAACGCTTTAACCACTAAGCTACCCAACCGTCCCTATACAGGACCGGAAACAACAAGTCTGACTTCCACATCTTATACAGAGCATGAAACAACAATATATATACATACATATAGTGTTATATGTTTTATCTAGAGGAATTTGTTAAAGTATGTATGCCCAAAAGAATGAACTGTAAATATAAATGTATTACTTGTATTTTTAATATATCTAGTACATCATGTATATTTTAGTGCCCATCCCGGACTACTTTGTAGGGATCTTCACATCCCACTCCATCAAACAAATACCTTACACTCTGCAAGTACTCACTTATATTTGAGAAGACAGAACCCAGACGTTGGCCCAATGTTTGCAATGGTTGGCAGTGTCGCAGTCGAATTTCATACGCTGTTACAGCGTCAGGTAGCATTTTGAAAAATATTTTTAAGAGACGCTACTCTAAATTGACAGCTTCTCTCAGAGGGTGCTGTTTTTCTGCGCCTCTCTTTAGCAGACGACGCAGACACAAGCACAAGCTCGGTCATCAGAGTACTGTTTTCCTCGTATATGTGAGGTAAGTGTTTCATTATCATCTTATTATAATGTTCAAACAGTACCATTCAGAAATATCAACACAAGTAATCATTTTCCGGACTTCATGACTGCTGGCGAATAATATGTTAGTCAAATTGCTTGCACAATACAGTATATGATGTGTGTATATACCTCCTTCAGGATCCTCTCATTGAAGAACTGCTGCAGCTTCTCATTACAATAGTTGATGCAGAACTGCTCAAAACTGTTCACTTGGAAGTACTCTGCAAAAATCAGTGTCATGAGGTAATCAAATCCCAATTTCTAGTTTGACTGGTTAAAAGATGCTGTGTAAAAATGTTTTAATTGCTTAAATAACATTGAACTTTTAAGCACATTACTGAACCACAATGAGCAAGTGATTGTTGTTTAATACTGCAATCAGTACTATTTCATCTTTGTCACAGAGGCCAATAAATAATCAAGTAAGAGCTATAAAGACCATTCACTGATATCATGAGCAATGTCCACTCCATCAGGGTACAATGACACACAATCAACCAAGTGACACACGTTGCCTCTGACGAGAGGAGGCCACGACAGCACATGTTAAACAACAGATAAACGAAATATCATCCTACCAAAGCCAGCTATATCCAAGACACCTATGTAGTTCGCTGAGGAAGTAAAGGGGATGGACTTGTTCACTTCATTCACAATGTAGTCAAACATCTTGGAATAGACAACCTTTGCCAAGGCATCTCGTGCACTGGCAGCCTCAAACATCTTCAGTGGAACCCTGAAATAACACAAAATAAATCATGCACACAATGTTAGCAGTAGCAAACCTGAAACAAAGGTGTGAGATAAGGATTTTCACTTTATTTCATATAATTTGGCATGTCAAGCTCTCAAAGTTGGTCACAGAATTATTATGTAATTCAAAGGATGGGCATATCGTCCCCTTTATTCCATTACTAGAAATGCTGAACACAACTCACTTGATTGCAGTGTATGAGTGGTATTCTCAGCTGTTGTAGAGGCATACACTAAATACAACTTACATGATGGCAGTGTATGAGTGGTATTCTCAGCTGTTCTAGAGGAGTACACTAAACACAACTCACCTGATTGCAGTGTATGAGTGGTATTCTCAGCTGTTGTAGAGGCATACACTAAATACAACTCACTACAACTCACTTGATGGCAGTGTGTGAGTGGTATTCTCAGCTGTTGTAGAGGAGTACACTAAATACAACTCACTTGATTGCAGTGTATGAGTGGTATTCTCAGCTGTTGTAGAGGCGTTCACTAAATACAACTTACTTGATGGCAGTGTATGAGTGGTATTCTCAGCTGTTGTAGAGGAGTACACTAAATACAACTTACTTGATGGCAGTGTATGAGTGGTATTCTCAGCTGTTGTAGAGGAGTACACTAAATACAACTCACTTGATGGCAGTGTATGAGTGGTATTCTCAGCTGTTGTAGAGGAGTACACTAAATACAACTCACTACAACTCACTTGATGGCAGTGTACAAGTGGTATTCTCAGCTGTTGTAGAGGAGTACACTAAATACAACTCACTTGATGGCAGTGTATGAGTGGTATTCTCAGCTGTTGTAGAGGAGTACACTAAATACAACTTACTTGATGGCAGTGTATGAGTGGTATTCTCAGCTGTTGTAGAGGAGTACACTAAATACAACTTACTTGATGGCAGTGTATGAGTGGTATTCTCAGCTGTTGTAGAGGCATACACTAAACACAACTCACTTGATGACAGTGTATGAGTGGTATTCTCAGCTGTTGTAGAGGAGTACACTAAATACAACTCACTTGATGGCAGTGTATGAGTGGTATTCTCAGCTGTTGTAGAGGAGTACACTAAATACAACTCACTACAACTCACTTGATGGCAGTGTACAAGTGGTATTCTCAGCTGTTGTAGAGGAGTACACTAAATACAACTCACTTGATGGCAGTGTACGAGTGGTATTCTCAGCTGTTGTAGAGGAGTACACTAAATACAACTCACTACAACTCACTTGATGGCAGTGTACAAGTGGTATTCTCAGCTGTTGTAGAGGCGTTCACTAAACACATCTCACTTGATTGCAGTGTATGAGTGGTATTCTCAGCTGTTGTAGAGGAGTACACTAAATACAACTACTTGATGGCAGTGTATGAGTGGTATTCTCAGCTGTTGTAGAGGAGTACACTAAATACAACTCACTTGATGGCAGTGTATGAGTGGTATTCTCAGCTGTTGTAGAGGAGTACACTAAATACAACTACTTGATGGCAGTGTATGAGTGGTATTCTCAGCTGTTGTAGAGGCATACACTAAATACAACTCACTTGATGGCAGTGTACGAGTGGTATTCTCAGCTGTTGTAGAGGAGTACACTAAATACAACTCACTTGATGGCAGTGTATGAGTGGTATTCTCAGCTGTTGTAGAGGCATACACTAAATACAACTTACTTGATGGCAGTGTACGAGTGGTATTCTCAGCTGTTGTAGAGGAGTACACTAAATACAACTTACTTGATGGCAGTGTATGAGTGGTATTCTCAGCTGTTGTAGAGGCATACACTAAATACAACTTACTTGATGGCAGTGTATGAGTGGTATTCTCAGCTGTTGTAGAGGAGTACACTAAATACAACTCACTTGATGGCAGTGTACGAGTGGTATTCTCAGCTGTTGTAGAGGAGTACACTAAATACAACTCACTACAACTCACTTGATGGCAGTGTACAAGTGGTATTCTCAGCTGTTGTAGAGGAGTACACTAAATACAACTACTTGATGGCAGTGTATGAGTGGTATTCTCAGCTGTTGTAGAGGAGTACACTAAATACAACTCACTACAACTCACTTGATGGCAGTGTACAAGTGGTATTCTCAGCTGTTGTAGAGGAGTACACTAAATACAACTCACTTGATGGCAGTGTATGAGTGGTATTCTCAGCTGTTGTAGAGGCATACACTAAATACAACTTACTTGATGGCAGTGTATGAGTGGTATTCTCAGCTGTTGTAGAGGAGTACACTAAATACAACTCACTACAACTCACTTGATGGCAGTGTATGAGTGGTATTCTCAGCTGTTGTAGAGGAGTACACTAAATACAACTCACTACAACTCACTTGATGGCAGTGTATGAGTGGTATTCTCAGCTGTTGTAGAGGAGTACACTAAATACAACTCACTACAACTCACTTGATGGCAGTGTATGAGTGGTATTCTCAGCTGTTGTAGAGGAGTACACTAAATACATCTCACTTGATGGCAGTGTATGAGTGGTATTCTCAGCTGTTGTAGAGGAGTACACTAAATACAACTCACTTGATGGCAGTGTACAAGTGGTATTCTCAGCTGTTGTAGAGGCGTTCACTAAACACATCTCACTTGATTGCAGTGTATGAGTGGTATTCTCAGCTGTTGTAGAGGAGTACACTAAATACATCTCACTTGATGGCAGTGTATGAGTGGTATTCTCAGCTGTTGTAGAGGCGTTCACTAAATACAACTCACTTGATGGCAGTGTACGAGTGGTATTCTCAGCTGTTGTAGAGGAGTACACTAAATACAACTTACTTGATGGCAGTGTGTGAGTGGTATTCTCAGCTGTTGTAGAGGAGTACACTAAATACAACTTACTTGATGGCAGTGTACGAGTGGTATTCTCAGCTGTTGTAGAGGAGTACACTAAACACAACTTACTTGATGGCAGTGTATGAGTGGTATTCTCAGCTGTTGTAGAGGCATACACTAAATACAACTCACTTGATGGCAGTGTACGAGTGGTATTCTCAGCTGTTGTAGAGGAGTACACTAAATACAACTCACTTGATGGCAGTGTACGAGTGGTATTCTCAGCTGTTGTAGAGGAGTACACTAAATACAACTCACTTGATGGCAGTGTACGAGTGGTATTCTCAGCTGTTGTAGAGGAGTACACTAAATACAACTCACTACAACTCACTTGATGGCAGTGTGTGAGTGGTATTCTCAGCTGTTGTAGAGGCGTTCACTAAACACAACTCACTTGATGGCAGTGTATGAGTGGTATTCTCAGCTGTTGTAGAGGAGTACACTAAATACAACTCACTTGATGGCAGTGTATGAGTGGTATTCTCAGCTGTTGTAGAGGCATACACTAAATACAACTTACTTGATGGCAGTGTATGAGTGGTATTCTCAGCTGTTGTAGAGGCGTTCACTAAACACAACTCACTTGATGGCAGTGTATGAGTGGTATTCTCAGCTGTTGTAGAGGCGTTCACTAAACACAACTCACTTGATGGCAGTGTATGAGTGGTATTCTCAGCTGTTGTAGAGGAGTACACTAAATACAACTCACTTGATGGCAGTGTATGAGTGGTATTCTCAGCTGTTGTAGAGGAGTACACTAAATACAACTCACTACAACTCACTTGATGGCAGTGTATGAGTGGTATTCTCAGCTGTTGTAGAGGAGTACACTAAATACAACTCACCAGATTGCAGTGTATGAGTGGTATTCTCAGCTGTTGTAGAGGAGTACACTAAATACAACTCACTACAACTCACTTGATGGCAGTGTACGAGTGGTATTCTCAGCTGTTGTAGAGGAGTACACTAAATACAACTCACTTGATGGCAGTGTACGAGTGGTATTCTCAGCTGTTGTAGAGGAGTACACTAAATACAACTCACTACAACTCACTTGATGGCAGTGTACAAGTGGTATTCTCAGCTGTTGTAGAGGAGTACACTAAATACAACTCACCAGATTGCAGTGTATGAGTGGTATTCTCAGCTGTTGTAGAGGAGTACACTAAATACAACTCACTTGATGGCAGTGTACGAGTGGTATTCTCAGCTGTTGTAGAGGCGTTCACTAAACACAACTCACTTGATGGCAGTGTATGAGTGGTATTCTCAGCTGTTGTAGAGGAGTACACTAAATACAACTTACTTAATGGCAGTGTGTGAGTGGTATTCTCAGCTGTTGTAGAGGAGTACACTAAATACAACTCACTTGATTGCAGTGTATGAGTGGTATTCTCAGCTGTTGTAGAGGAGTACACTAAATACAACTACTTGATGGCAGTGTATGAGTGGTATTCTCAGCTGTTGTAGAGGAGTACACTAAATACAACTCACTTGATGGCAGTGTATGAGTGGTATTCTCAGCTGTTGTAGAGGAGTACACTAAATACATCTCACTTGATGGCAGTGTATGAGTGGTATTCTCAGCTGTTGTAGAGGAGTACACTAAATACATCTCACTTGATGGCAGTGTATGAGTGGTATTCTCAGCTGTTGTAGAGGAGTACACTAAATACATCTCACTTGATGGCAGTGTATGAGTGGTATTCTCAGCTGTTGTAGAGGCATACACTAAATACAACTCACTTGATGGCAGTGTACAAGTGGTATTCTCAGCTGTTGTAGAGGAGTACACTAAATACAACTCACTTGATGGCAGTGTATGAGTGGTATTCTCAGCTGTTGTAGAGGAGTACACTAAATACATCTCACTTGATGGCAGTGTATGAGTGGTATTCTCAGCTGTTGTAGAGGCATACACTAAATACAACTTACTTGATGGCAGTGTACGAGTGGTATTCTCAGCTGTTGTAGAGGCATACACTAAATACAACTCACTTGATGGCAGTGTATGAGTGGTATTCTCAGCTGTTGTAGAGGCATACACTAAATACAACTTACTTGATGGCAGTGTATGAGTGGTATTCTCAGCTGTTGTAGAGGAGTACACTAAATACAACTCACTTGATGGCAGTGTATGAGTGGTATTCTCAGCTGTTGTAGAGGCATACACTAAATACAACTCACTTGATGGCAGTGTATGAGTGGTATTCTCAGCTGTTGTAGAGGCATACACTAAATACAACTTACTTGATGGCAGTGTACGAGTGGTATTCTCAGCTGTTGTAGAGGCGTTCACTAAACACAACTCACTTGATGGCAGTGTACGAGTGGTATTCTCAGCTGTTGTAGAGGAGTACACTAAATACAACTCACTTGATGGCAGTGTACGAGTGGTATTCTCAGCTGTTGTAGAGGCGTTCACTAAATACAACTCACTTGATGGCAGTGTACGAGTGGTATTCTCAGCTGTTGTAGAGGCGTTCACTAAATACAACTCACTTGATGGCAGTGTATGAGTGGTATTCTCAGCTGTTGTAGAGGAGTACACTAAATACAACTCACTTGATGGCAGTGTACGAGTGGTATTCTCAGCTGTTGTAGAGGAGTACACTAAACACAACTACTTGATGGCAGTGTATGAGTGGTATTCTCAGCTGTTGTAGAGGAGTACACTAAATACAACTCACTTGATGGCAGTGTACAAGTGGTATTCTCAGCTGTTGTAGAGGAGTACACTAAACACAACTCACTTGATGGCAGTGTATGAGTGGTATTCTCAGCTGTTGTAGAGGAGTACACTAAATACAACTCACTTGATGGCAGTGTATGAGTGGTATTCTCAGCTGTTGTAGAGGAGTACACTAAATACAACTCACTACAACTCACTTGATGGCAGTGTATGAGTGGTATTCTCAGCTGTTGTAGAGGAGTACACTAAATACAACTCACTACAACTCACTTGATGGCAGTGTACGAGTGGTATTCTCAGCTGTTGTAGAGGAGTACACTAAATACAACTCACTTGATGGCAGTGTACGAGTGGTATTCTCAGCTGTTGTAGAGGAGTACACTAAATACAACTCACTACAACTCACTTGATGGCAGTGTACAAGTGGTATTCTCAGCTGTTGTAGAGGAGTACACTAAATACAACTCACCAGATTGCAGTGTATGAGTGGTATTCTCAGCTGTTGTAGAGGCGTTCACTAAACACAACTCACTTGATGGCAGTGTATGAGTGGTATTCTCAGCTGTTGTAGAGGCGTTCACTAAACACAACTCACCAGATTGCAGTGTATGAGTGGTATTCTCAGCTGTTGTAGAGGAGTACACTAAATACAACTCACTTGATGGCAGTGTACGAGTGGTATTCTCAGCTGTTGTAGAGGCGTTCACTAAACACAACTCACTTGATGGCAGTGTATGAGTGGTATTCTCAGCTGTTGTAGAGGAGTACACTAAATACAACTTACTTGATGGCAGTGTGTGAGTGGTATTCTCAGCTGTTGTAGAGGAGTACACTAAATACAACTCACTTGATTGCAGTGTATGAGTGGTATTCTCAGCTGTTGTAGAGGAGTACACTAAATACAACTACTTGATGGCAGTGTATGAGTGGTATTCTCAGCTGTTGTAGAGGAGTACACTAAATACAACTCACTTGATTGCAGTGTATGAGTGGTATTCTCAGCTGTTGTAGAGGAGTACACTAAATACAACTCACTTGATGGCAGTGTATGAGTGGTATTCTCAGCTGTTGTAGAGGAGTACACTAAATACAACTCACTTGATGGCAGTGTATGAGTGGTATTCTCAGCTGTTGTAGAGGAGTACACTAAATACAACTCACTTGATGGCAGTGTATGAGTGGTATTCTCAGCTGTTGTAGAGGCATACACTAAATACATCTCACTTGATGGCAGTGTATGAGTGGTATTCTCAGCTGTTGTAGAGGCATACACTAAATACAACTTACTTGATGGCAGTGTACGAGTGGTATTCTCAGCTGTTGTAGAGGCATACACTAAATACAACTCACTTGATGGCAGTGTATGAGTGGTATTCTCAGCTGTTGTAGAGGCATACACTAAATACAACTTACTTGATGGCAGTGTATGAGTGGTATTCTCAGCTGTTGTAGAGGAGTACACTAAATACAACTCACTTGATGGCAGTGTATGAGTGGTATTCTCAGCTGTTGTAGAGGCATACACTAAATACAACTCACTTGATGGCAGTGTATGAGTGGTATTCTCAGCTGTTGTAGGGGCATACACTAAATACAACTTACTTGATGGCAGTGTACGAGTGGTATTCTCAGCTGTTGTAGAGGCGTTCACTAAACACAACTCACTTGATGGCAGTGTACGAGTGGTATTCTCAGCTGTTGTAGAGGAGTACACTAAATACAACTCACTTGATGGCAGTGTACGAGTGGTATTCTCAGCTGTTGTAGAGGCGTTCACTAAATACAACTCACTTGATGGCAGTGTACGAGTGGTATTCTCAGCTGTTGTAGAGGAGTACACTAAATACAACTCACTTGATGGCAGTGTACGAGTGGTATTCTCAGCTGTTGTAGAGGAGTACACTAAATACAACTCACTACAACTCACTTGATGGCAGTGTACAAGTGGTATTCTCAGCTGTTGTAGAGGAGTACACTAAATACAACTCACCAGATTGCAGTGTATGAGTGGTATTCTCAGCTGTTGTAGAGGCGTTCACTAAACACAACTCACTTGATGGCAGTGTACGAGTGGTATTCTCAGCTGTTGTAGAGGCATACACTAAATACAACTTACTTGATGGCAGTGTACGAGTGGTATTCTCAGCTGTTGTAGAGGCGTTCACTAAACACAACTCACTTGATGGCAGTGTACGAGTGGTATTCTCAGCTGTTGTAGAGGAGTACACTAAATACAACTCACTTGATGGCAGTGTACGAGTGGTATTCTCAGCTGTTGTAGAGGCGTTCACTAAATACAACTCACTTGATGGCAGTGTACGAGTGGTATTCTCAGCTGTTGTAGAGGAGTACACTAAATACAACTCACTTGATGGCAGTGTACGAGTGGTATTCTCAGCTGTTGTAGAGGCATACACTAAATACAACTTACTTGATGGCAGTACCCTTGGTGCCCCCACGGGTTGCCTGCATGACCCGACTGGTCAATGCATCTTTCAGCTCTTCCTTATCTACCTCAAGTAGATGGGCAGCAATCAACAGAGCTTTTTCTGCCAGCTGTGCAACCTTGCATCCACCTGTGAACAATTATTTCATGACACAAACTTTCATCACTCAAACACTTAGTCCCATTGCTGTATATGACCGCAGATAAGCTGAGGTATTAACTTGACCATTGAAATACAAAAGAAAATTATATGACCCGCAGATAAGCCGAACCAGGAAGTGAAAGGCAAAAAACACTGCGAAGTCGGACTGCAAGACATGTGCCAGTACTCGCAGATATTCAATAATATAAGATGAAAAATGTTGTAATTATATTGAAAAAGTCATTATTCTTTTTCTTATAAAGATTTAACAAACCAGTCATCCACTTTCATAATGTGGGAAGCTGTTTCTCTTGTCTTTTTTTAATCTCATAATGATCATTATATGTTGCCATCAACAATGAAGCGCCATTTTGTGAATCGGTATAGAATTATGAACCCATGAGAAAATATATCAGCTAGAGCAAAGACTCGCAGTTTGGATGCAGCATCGTAAGCATGGTGTTTTCGTTTCAAACTCATGATTAGAATGTCAGTCAGTAAAAATATACTAACTTCTTTACCACTATTGTATGTTAATCCAATTGAATTAAATAAACTATGAACACATTGAATGACCATCACTTACTCACAGGCTTCTCCAGTTTATTAAACTAATCTCTCGAAAACAAAGGAATTAAGCCCCTAATCCCAACACGAACGCTAGGCACCCACAACCTGAAAGTGTATGTGTAAACAACATAACAATACCAATCGGCCCATTATTATCAGTGCTCATTTCTTTGTGTACCGTGTTACTTTTTAAACAACAGGAAGCAATCACAGTGGTCACCGTTTGTGACGTCACAGGAAACAGCTGATTACATGTTTTTGCATATGGCGAACGGAATAGCTCGCCGTTACAGTTGTTTATTTGCCTCTTTCAATAAAGGTAGACACTTGTTCACTATCAATTTATGAACTTTGCAAAACATACGTAATAGCTTTTGGCGATTTCATCTGTGGATTATATGTTATAGCTGTGGATTACATATATTGTTACATGTAAAGATTGTGGGGTTTATGAAGAACGATATACTTTGAACATTCAATTGAAAACTTATTATCGGAAGTAGTAACATGCATAACTGTTTTTTAATAATGACAACATTGGTGTATAATAATAACTTTATTGATGATTTATAACAATAATGGCTCTAGTCGTGGCAACTTCCAAACTTTCGGGAAGTTGTAATCTATCGGAATCATTCAGGCGATGTTCACGATCTGAAAAATACTACAGTGATCGCTCGCTATTGCACTCTTCGATAAAGCGCTACCTCGGTTACTACGTGCGGTAACGCATGGCTCCCAAAATTTATGTACACTTTTATTACTGAGAGTTTTACACAGACGTAATTGTATTGTTGTTCGTTGTTCATTTGCACATAACACTTCTCATTGCATAATCAACCGTTTATCGCTGAATGGAGTTCTAATAATCCGTTTGAAAACATCCGCAGCAAGTCCCGGAAATACGATTGTTCAACTAGTTAACTTTTCACACTATACATCCTTTGATCTTAGAAGCGCATGCACGCAATAAAAGAGAACCACAAGCGAAGTTTATATTCTTAATTAGTGGGCAATCCAATTTAAGGCGACACTGTCACACACATGTAGTTGCTGTCACAACACGGCGGTCATTCATTTCGTAATCGCGCTTTCGTAACATTGCCTGCATTTTCCCCGTAGTTATAACAAGCGATTTCATTGGAATAAAATTTGTTTCTAATGACGCTTTCTTGCCGAAATCCGCTACAAGTTTCGTGATTGGTCAATTTTGAGCACGTGACCTCAGGCAGCCAATCAAATTATAGCTGTGATACCAAGCTCGTGTTTGATAAATTTCAGAAGTTAGCGAAAGATTTTTTGTTAAATCGTGTTATTCTGAACGTTTTAAGCAGGAAATCACGATATATATTAAAAATATGGAACTTCGCGAATGTATCGTGCTAGGTTACGAGCTGTGACAAAGATTTTTCATGCATATATTTTTGCATTAAACGTTGTGTCCGAGCCGAGAATTCAAGGCGACGAAAGCCGAGATGTCATTTGACTTACATTACACGCGATCGCACGAAACGATGGAAATAATAACTTAGATGTAAGTTTGATTACTTTTAGATATATTTTTGTTGATTTTATTTATCACTTTGTATAATATATTTAAAGATTTGCTTAAAATAGTCTTTATTTTGCTCTTTGACATGTTCGATGCGGACCCGTTGTCAAAATGTGTGTCCGAGAATTTTATTTTCAATAACATCGCGGGAAATAGTGAATAATTTTTTAATTTATTGATAAAAAATGATAAATTAGAATGGAATACGTATTTCAGACATTGTGAAATGTGACAGATTTAATAAATGAATGATATTACAGGTAGATCTAGGTCCATAAAAATATATACTATTTTGACGTGACGTGAGATAAACACATATTGATGATTTAAGATTTGCCGAGCGCGCTCCCCCGCCTCGGCCTCGGTTAAACGGCTCATCGTCTATAACGCCCACCAATTATTTGGACCCCATTGGTAGCGTTGTAGCGAGGGACCACTGTATCATGAAAGTGTATCCCGTGGATAAGCCAACCCCTTTCTACCTTATCTTTTTTCTGGTCCTCAAAATTCGGCTTATCTGCGGACATATACGGTAGGTACCAAAACTCATAAAGCATGTGTGTTGGTGAGAGATGAATGCTCATACCTTTGGTATCCTCCAGGTTTTCTTCAAAGGTGATATTGCCTAGGTGGAGCACCGCAGCCACTAGACGGAAGATGTTATTCTTGTCAGCATCTGTGATTCCCATCTTTGTCATGGCCTCCGAGCACACAGTGAAGTCACGGACATCATCCAGGATAGGGTCATTGAGACTGCCAAGTTTCAGGTACTACATACAAAAATCATAATGAGAGTCATCAAATATATACTCAACCTCCAATGAAAGTTCATTTGTGGGTTGAGCAATTTGGAATGTTCAAATTGGATCAAACTCTGAATATTAAAACCGCACAATATTTCAAAAGCCAAACAGAACAGTCTACCAGAAATGTACCATTTACTGTCTGGGAATAGTTTCCTCATTTATGTATGATTGATATATTTCCTAGATAAGAATGAAAGCTGTCACAAAACTACAGATTGCCAGGTTTTACATCTTAATGTTGATGATGCTTACCCTGAGTTAGTCTGATTTTACATTGCTCTGAACATTATGTCAGTTATTTTATGACAAGGCAGTGTAATGTGTGAGAAATGCCCCAAGTGATGCAGTTTAGACATTTACCAGTTGGTAAAGCCTACGAACACAGTACTGTGCTGACAAATCAGGAACTATTATCAGTTTGGAACCAAGAAGATTGGAAATAAAATATCCAACAGTTTCTGGCATGACAAAGGAATGCAACTCTGCACACCAAAACCCTTTACAGCTATAAATATCAAGATGAAAACTGAAAGTGCACATAGATACCCAAGTTTTTGTTACAAAGTAGGGAGAAGTTTGTGACCTTTGTAAACAAGACAAATTCAGTCAGTGTAGGTTATTTATGAACAGTTGTTCGAAGTTTTGCATTGGTAGGTCAACTTCAGACAGTATTGTGACATCTAGATAGATACAGTCGAAGGGAATTGAACAAAAGGACAATCCATCAGTGAAAGTGTGATTCTCTGAACAAATGACAAAAACATAATGATGCATAAGGAAATTAGTTGACATTTCAAATTGTAAATAACTGTAAAACCAAAGGATGGGCATATATGAAAGTTACACAATCAAATCATTTGACATATCATAATGTCATCCCAAAAGCTATATCAAAGCTGTTGGCTTTTAATGTCATATACCAGAATAAAAAAACATATTCCTCAACCAAAGCAAAGCTGATTACTGAATTACCAAAGTAAGCACATTTCTACTTAACTGTCATTTTTTTGCTCACAATACATCCAACAGACAACATGGTAACAACTGAGACACACATGCTGGGGACATAACACTGATAACTAGGCAGGGGACACAAAGTTCACTTGGGACAGAATGTGGTAGGAAACATACAGTGGCAGCCACGGAATTGGTCAAATGACTTCCAGGATGTGAATGTAATATTTTTTACATTGTCACATATCTCCAGGTAATCAACACACCTGGACCTCTTACCTGTTGACTTTTCCGATTTGCATTCATGGCCTTGTCAGATTGCCGGGTAGCAAAGTACTGCGAGCAGCCATTCTTCAAATACTACACGGTGGAGAGAACAACACTGAAGCAATATCTGCATGCTGAACTATGTGTGCTGTTTCAACTACCTGGACACGACACATGGAGCACACACATTTATACCTGCCCACTTCAACTTGCTGAAGGAAGTGTTAGTTATCTCAACATGTGTACTTGTACTGACTCTGTTGCAGAGAAACACTACAAAAACCTCACATTGACAAAATTTGGATTGGAGTTTTACAAAATGTATACTGGATACAGGCCAAATACTACAGTGCCGGTGTTCTTCGGGTGCCTAGGAGTCATTATCAGACAGCCAAGAACTCATGCACTAGTTTCATTGTCAACACCAGCTTGACTGGTTTCTGCCTTGCTTTATTGTGTTCATTATGAGCACAAAACATACTGTCTGCATAATATCATCAAATTACTGTTAAGGGGTAAATTTCAAGCCAAACATAACCCCCAATCTTTGATTTTACATATCAGGATAAATGTGTGCATCATTCCAGTTCCTGTAGTGGTTCAAGTGATTGAATACATCAGTAGGGATACTATTACAAGTACAATTCATGCATGACTTTTACATTGTAACTGTGAATTACAGCAAGCAAACAGCTAGTGTACAAAACCATGGAAACAGCATGCACAGGGATCAAGGCAGTAACTGCATCCTTCGCGACAGTGTTCATCTCAAATGAAATGACTTATTTGATATCATAATACATTTGATCTACACAAAACATCAAAGAATAATTATGATAACCAACAAACAGAACAAAATTATCCTGCAGAAGTTAAACAGTTCACCAATAAGAGAATTAATCATTAAGAAGGAAGGAACTTATCCATGCTTGTACACATTTATAAAACAAAGTAGCATAGGGCAACATTTGAAGTGCGTAATAATTTGTTCCCAAGAAAGGGTACAGAGTTGAAAATGTGGATATTTGTATTGATCATTTATGATAAGAAATTTCAATATATTTACAGGCAATACTGATGTGATACTTTCGGCCTACTGTTGCTGTGTGTTGACTCTGTGTGAATGTTGTTTTATATGGCAGTTACCAATATGTCACCTCTATTATGGTGGCTGCCTTAGCAATGAATTTATTTTGACTCCACAGATTTCTAAGCAAGGTTGGCAATTAGCATGATTAGGTGCCTACATATAAAAATTTGTTCATGATAGGACAATCAACAATAGGTATTATAAACGGTGAAAAAGGAGAAGTAATAATCCTTACAATTTATTGTGGTCTAATGATTCTATACTTCAATATCTGTGTTTTTTAGTTTTTGATATTAAAATCCTTTTGTCATTTTGATTCTGAGGTATAACCATTAATGACTACTTTTTGGACTCTATTTTCTAAGTAGCTTTCAAACCATTTCGAAAGATCACCTTGGATACCGTAAGCATTGAGTTTATGAATAATTCTTTTGTGCCATACTCTATCAAAGGCTTTGCTGACATCACAAAAAACAGCTCTGATTTCTTTACCTTCGTCTAATGCCCTAGCAATAAAATTTATATAGGTAAGTGAGTTGATAAGATGTGGAATCGCCAGGCACGAATCCCAACTGTAAAGTTGTCAACAATTCATTTTCTCTGAAAAAGTTAAACACATATTTGAATATACACTTTTCAAATATTTTGGCTAAGCAACATGTGAGAGCTACAGGTCTATAGTTTGAGCATTCATGTACATCGCCTTTTTTGTGAATTGGTGTTACTGATGCTTGTTTCCAAACTGACGGGAAGGTTTTGTTTTTGAGCGACAAGTTAAATAATTTTGTCAGGATCAGAGCTAGACGAGTCGCTGTTAATTTAGGTAACTTGTTACCTATACCATCTGGCCCTGTTGCCTTAGTTGTATCTACAGAAAGAAGAATATCTCGAACTTCTTCTAGATTTAAATTCACAGATAATAATGGATCGTCGTTTCTGATCTAACCAACATCAACTTATATTTAATTTTGAACTCTTTTCTTTCAGATTCAAAGCATTACAGTTCAGTTACTTACATAGCATGTCACTCAAGTTTCAGAAACACCTGTATAGTGCAGTAAAACCAAAAACTCCTGATGTCTCAAACTAACTTCCAGTCAGATAATACCACTTCCATTTTGGGTAAAACAAATGTCTGATTCACTACAACCTCAGAACAAACAGATGCATGCCATTCACTTGGGACCTTCAAGCACAGCCACAAGCTGACAAAATATCTTAAATTGAAAGCATCAGTGGTGTTGCAAATGTAAAGTTGAAAAATCACTCAAAGTGTGAATGACCTTGACATTTAATACAATGAATTGATACATAACAGGTATTGATTTAGTTATAAATAGTTTATCTTAACTCTCTAACACTTTTTTTTCTCATAAATTAAACAAAAACTACACAGGTTTGCACCAATCATACTGTGACCTTGACCAATACAGAGGTTACCCTGGAGACAATCTATTTCAAAGGAACTATCACCACTTATCTGATTGGATCACTGAGTACACATACAGTAACAAATCAATCAGGTATTTTAACAACTAACAAGCTATACTGGGCAGTCATGTGAACCATAATGTTTCAAGCAAATAGCCCTGGTGACAATTGAGTATGTCAACAAAAAACATGTAATGATGCTCTTTCTTAATTCAATAACTGTTTAACTGACACCAGAAAAAAGCAATTTATCAGCTCCAAATAAGCAACTCCAAGCTCTCTGGCATTTTCTGATGATCTAAATACAACACAAAACACCAAGGCACCCTACACTACCTGGAACTGATCTGGTGGGGCCAACTGTAGCTCTTCTTTCATTTTGTCAGGAGCACCAGCACACAAGCGGTAGAAGATGTGGTAGTTTCTCTCTTCCTTGCTCTGTGTGCAGATTCGTGATTTTTCTAGCAGGTAGTGGGAGATGTAGCCACCACACACAGCTGACTGAAACAGCAAGCATCATCACTGCTAAGTCCACACCATATTGGCTATCTTCAGGGATAATATCAATACAATACTCATAACTAATCAGGAATCAAAATTTCCTCGTTATCTGAATAATCACAATTAGATGTAACTACCGAAACCGAGTCTGTTGACGTATAGATGTATACAGCTTCAGGACACATTCACGTCAGATAGGCCAAAGTGATTCAGTACTTTGAAATATGACATCATGGACTCAAATCATCATTTGAAAATGCTATAAATTCCAAGCTATTGGAAAGTTTGCCAAAAATAGCACAAGTTTCCAGTAGGAAGAAATGGAGTTATACTAATCCTTGTCATATTACGGAAGAAAGAAAAATGGGCATCTGGATGGAATCATATACAGTGTTCCCTCATTATTGCACCCTTCAATATAGCGCTAACTCGGTTATAGCGTGCGGTAAAGCATTGCTCCCAAAATTAACTAACATTTTCAATAAATTAAAGTTTTCCAATGACGCGATGTTTTCCCCCATCTCAGAAAACATTATCATTATTTATGTATGTAAACAAAGATGTGAATTAATTGAATTAAGAAAAATGGGCGTGTGTAAATAAATGAATCGTAACTTGAAATATGTTCTTATGTTATTACTTCATACTTGGAGACAGAAAATATACCGGTCATCATGGATACAGAAGATATACCAGTCATCATGGATACAGAAGATATCCCGGTCATCATGGATACAGAAGATATGCTGATCATCATGGATACAGAAGATATTCCAGTCATCATGGATACAGAAGATACACCAGTCATCATGGATACAGAAGATATCCCGGTCATCATGGATACAGAAGATATACCAGTCATCATGGATACAGAAGATATTCCAGTCATCATGGATACAGCAAATACACCAGTCATCATGGATACAGAAGATATACCAGTTATCATGGATACAGAAGATAAACCAGTCATCATGGATACAGAAGATAGACCAGTCATCATGGATACAGAAGATATACCAGTCATCATGGATACAGAAGATAGACCAGTCATCATGGATACAGAAGATATACCAGTCATCATGGATACAGAAGATATACAGGTCATCATGGATACAGAAGGATATTCCAGTCATCATGGATACAGAAGATATTCCAGTCATTTTGGATACAGAAGATACACTGATCATCGTGGATACAGAAGATATACCGGTCATCATGGATACAGAAGATATACCAGTCATTTTGCATACAGAAGATATCCCGGTCATCATGGATACAGAAGATATACCAGTCATCATGGATACAGAAGATATTCCAGTCATTTTGGATACAGAAGATATACCAGTCATCATGGATACAGAAGATATACCGGTCATCATGGATACAGAAGTTATATTGATCATCATGGATACAGAAGATATACCAGTCATCATGGATACAGAAGATATACCAGTCATTATGGATACAGAAGATATACAAGTCAACATGGATACAGAAGATATACCAGTCATCATGGATACAGAAGATATACTGATCATCATGGATACAGAAGATATACTGATCATCGTGGATACAGAAGATATACTGATCATCATGGATAGAGAAGATATACCGGTCATCATGGATACAGAAGATATACTGATCATCATGGATACAGAAGATATACTGATCATCGTGGATACAGAAGATATACTGATCATCATGGATACAGAAGATATACCGGTCATCATGGATACATAAGATATACTGATCATCGTGGATACAGAAGATATACCGGTCATCATGGATACAGAAGAGATACCGGTCATCATGGATACAGAAGAGATACCGGTCATCATGGATACAGAAGATAGACCAGTCATCATGGATACAGAAGAGATACCGGTCATCATGGACACAGAAGATATACTGATCTCATCATGGATACAGAAGATATACTGATCATCGTGGATACAGAAGATAGACCAGTCATCATGGATACAGAAGATATACCGGTCATCATGGATACAGAATATATATTGGTCATCATGGATACAGAAGATATACTGATCATCATGCATACAGAAGGTATACCAGTCATCATGGATACAGAAGATATACCGGTCATCATGGATACAGAAGATATACTGATCATCGTGGATACAGAAAATATACCGGTCATCATGGATACAGAAGATATACCGGTCATCATGGATACAAAATATATATTGGTCATCATGGATACAGAAGATATACTGATCATCATGCATACAGAAGGTATACCGGTCATCATGGATACAGAAGATATACCGGTCATCATGGATACAGAATATATATTGGTCATCATGGATACAGAAGATATACTGATCATCATGCATACAGAAGGTATACAAGTCATCATGGATACAGAAGATATACCGGTCATCATGGATACAGAACATATACTGATCATCGTGGATACAGAAAATATACCGGTCATCATGGATACAGAAGATATACCAGTCATCGTGGATACAGAATATATATTGGTCATCATGGATACAGAAGATATACCGGTCATCATGGATACAGAATATATATTGGTCATCATGGATACAGAAGATATACTGATCATCATGCATACAGAAGGTATACCAGTCATCATGGATACAGAATATATATCAGTCATCATGGATACATAAGACATACCGGTCATCGTGCATACAGAAGGTATACCAGTCATCATGGATACAGAAGATATACCAGTCATCATGGATACATAAGACATACCGGTCATCATGGATACAGAAGATATACTGATCATCGTGCATACAGAAGGTATACCAGTCATCATGGATACAGAAGATATACCGGTCATCGTGGATACAGAAAATATACCGGTCATCATGGATACAGAAGATATACCGGTCATCATGGATACATAAGACATACCGGTCATCATGGATACAGAAGATATATTAGTCATTTTGGATACAGAAGATATACCAGTCATATAGCTGTAACCATTGACATATACCATAAACAACCCTTACCTTTGCATCAAAATGGATTTCTACAAATTTGCCAAATCTACTACTGTTGTTGTTTCTGACCGTCTTGGCATTACCAAAGGCTTCTAGGAGTGGGTTGGCTGTGGAGAGAGGAGGACAGATATTATCAGCACATTATAATTTAGGTTTCATATAAAAATATTCACATTAGAAAAGGTTATAGTGTCAAAGGAGACAGGTCCATATGACATAGAATTATATTTCTGGTAAAAACAAAGGAGACAGGCCATTAGGACATAGCATTATATTACTGGTATACATAGGAGACAGGCCATTAGGACATAGCATTATATTACTGGTATATACAAAGGAGACAGGCCCATAGGACATTGCATTATATTGCCAGTATATACAAAGGAGACAGGCCATTAGGACATCACATATTATTACTGGTATATACAAAGGAGATAGGCCCATAGGACATTGCATTATATTGCCGGTATATACATTTCATTTTACAAATTACATACAGAGGGACAAGTAGAACTTGAAAGCATGAATTATTATTCTTTTTTTTACATTTATATGGCACTTGGACATCTGGTATTCATTTGCATAATTAGAGTTATAAAACATTCTAAGGCTGGATTATCATAAAGCCGAGGGTGCATATATGCAAAAGTAAGGGAAGTTTTATCTCATCTAAAATAACGGGAAAGAATAGTCTTGCCATGATTAAACAGAAATAGCCTCCCTGGATCACAGCTCACCTGATACATATAAATTCATTATAATACATCCATGTTCCCATGCAACTGCTAGTTTGTGGTAAAAGTAGTAACAACGTGTGGACCAGATGCTTGGGGAAGGAAGTAAAATGTTCCAAGATAATGAGATTATTACATCTGAGCAAAACACAGCTGCAAGAAACAAGTAGCTTTTTATTGTGTATTTGGTTGTTGTTTAACACCACACAGCAATATTCCAGCAGATGGCAGTCTGTAAATAATCGAGTCAATTACGCAATTGGGATACAATGACACACATCAACGAAGTCAGCAAGCCTGACCTACCGATCCCCTTAGTTACCTCTTACGACAAGCATAGTCGCCTCTTACTGCAAGCATAGGTTGCCAAAGACCTATTCTAACCCAGATCTTCACAGGTTAAGCAGCTTATTTATGGCTGTAGCATGGAATACAGAATTCCTGGAAGCAGTCTCTTAAAATAGATGGTTATGCTCATATCATATGCAATTAGGACTGTGATAGGTGTTTGAGTACCTGATGTACACGTCTGAGTACCCGAGAAAGGGAGATAACTCTTAATGAACCTTGACAAGAACAGATAACTCTCATTAGCTGTATATGTGGCCATATTAACTGATGCCATGTCTCAAAACTTTCATATACTTTTAATGAACAAGGATATGTTATTTCATACTCAAAGATGAGTTAAAGACATAAACATTTTTATGTTAACCATGCATTTACTTCTGTGTCTCAGTTTCTAAAACTACAGTAAATACAACATTTCCCCTCAACAGCCAAGGAAGTAATATCAAGTCATATTAGAACCTGGTGGATTTTCATGACACTCCATCATGACAGACAATTGATAAACAGGCCATGACAAAGTGCACTAACACTTGGCATTGACAATCTTGTGTTCAAGACATCATACAAAATGTGCGAGTGCCACAATTAATGTTAGTGTGATTATTTGAGTAAATGCCTTTATACAGATGGATGAAAGAAGGAAGATAGATGCTTCAGAAAGAAGTTAGTTGTAGTAAGCTATCCTGTATGGAGATGTACATTTACTGCAAAAATATTAACACTCATATACATACACAAATATTTAACATTATATCTGTTTTTATAATTTCATGCTGTCTTCATATGAAAATGACATCACATTTTGAAAACACTTAATTTTCACATATTTCTATGAAGTTTTTAATTATGAAGGATGTTAATGTTAAGACAAATAGTATAATGTATTAAATATAATAAAGTTCCATTCATATGACTAGATTGACATTTACTAAATGAGCAGATTTAACTTAATACCAACAAATTATTGTTTAAAAATAACTATAGGAGAAAAAATATCAAATAACTCCCATTTAATCATTAGAGATTAAAGGTTTTTTTCCGTATCCATGTGATAAAAATGAATACCTCAACTGAATGTTTCTATTGAATAGTGGTGTTAGTGAAAGTAATGGAGAGGACTTCATGCATTGACCAGATCCTAGGAACATGCATCCCTGCCGTGTGAGATCTATAGCATATTCTTAAACCATCCAAATGGGAAACATGCTACACAATGCTGACACGAAGGACATATCCTCGCAGTATATCTGACCCAAGTTAGTGGACAGTTAAGGCTGCACACAGATACAAACAGACAGGACTCTGTGAACATGCATCCTCGTAGTGCAGCAACTTCAGCATGTTGCTCCTCCCATGGACTACCACTGATGTCATGCTACCAATTGCTTACACTCGAGGATTCTCTGTTCAATGGGTCCAGCCTTGGTTCCCCAACACTCTGTAAGGTATTTCAGGATATATTTGGTTGACTCAGTCTTCCCTGCGCCAGACTCTCCACTCACGATTACTGACTGACTTAGCTTCAAAACCTTCATGTCACGGTAGGACTTGTCAGCTGAAAGCACACAACAGTAAAACAACCCAAAAGTAATTTCAACATTTCAACCAATATATTGCTGCCTGCACATACAAGTATATATCAAATCATCCACACACTCCATTTCACTGTGGTATTAGCATGATTAGGAGAATTCAAGAGATTGATTGAAAGTATCTCTCAGATCGGCATATGTAAAATACATCCATAAACTAGCTAAAACAGAAGCATTCCCCATCCTCAAAGCTTCTACAGTCTTAAAATACATCCATAAACTAGCTAAAACAGAAGCATTCCTCATCCCCAAAGGTTCTACAGTCTAAAAATACATCCATAAACTAGCTAAAACAGAAGCATTCCCCATCCCCAAAGCTTCTATAGTCTTAAAATACATCCATGAACTAGCTAAAACAGAAGCATTCACCATCCCCAAAGCTTCTATAGTCTTAAAATACATCCATGAACTAGCTAAAACAGAAGCATTCCCCATCCTCAGAGCTTCTACAGTCTTAAAATACATCCATAAACTAGCTAAAACAGAAGCATTCCCCATCCTCAAAGATTCTACGGTCTTAAAATACATCAATGCAGTCCAAAATAACTGTGCATGATATGTACAAAAGGAATTCCCTAGAGATAGTTGGAAGAAGTTCATGGATGAATAATCTCTGATTTTGATAATCTTTGTGTAGTAGTCATAAGAAAAATCAATGGGCCGCGGTCTAATTCCAACAAAACTTTGAATCAGTCCCATATCACAAATGCATCCATTGTGTACATCAATATTACCAGTCAATACACTATGGTAAATTTGTTACATAACATTTCTAGAACTATAAACCTAAAATATAGCTGGTGTCAACAGCTGGGAATTAGTTTCATGGTTGAAACTACAACATGACTCACCAATGGCATATACGTGAGGAGGCAGCACTCCAAGGGACTTCCCAGTGTAGGACTTTATGGTCTGTGATGTGTACAAGTCTGGTATCTCATAATATGGGTTGATGGCAATTAAAATGTTGGCTGTGTAGGTCTGTAAAAAAGCAGCACCACCATTACATCAAAATAATACTCCTTTGTTCATCTACACATGCTTTCATCCTGTGGTGACAAATGACTTTAAAAAATACTTCACTGAAAGGCAAATGAATAAATATATAGTGAATAGGATTAACTGTTTGATTTGCATTCTAGAAGTTGCCAAATAATTAAGAAAAACGAAAAACCTGGTTGATGTCACTCTAGCTTGATAACTGTGTAAGAATCTACATCAAAACGGCACTATACACAATAAGCCAGTAGTTGTTGTCCATAAAGTTCTACATTTTTCTTAATGAATAGGATTAAGTTGTATATCATATGTAATATCTTAAATTCATACCAGGTTGAAAATAACCAACATCAGACAACTAATAATAATTATTTTGTAAATCATACAATCACACACCGTTTATGTGTGAGGATGAATATCATTCAAGATCAACCCAAACTAAACCTATGTCGTGTATAAACCTTCCACCACAAATTAATTTCTATTCATGACAATAACATTTATGGAATCTAACTACCACCCTTCTAAATTCAGAGAGAGATTTTTTTTCCTCAAATAGATTTGGAAATTTTAGTACGAATTTTATATTCATACACTTATCCTATCTCACAATATGCATATTGTCTTTCTTCTTCGATCCAATGTGGAAACATGCTTGAACTTTGTTTTTCAGCTTCTAAAACAAAAATATTTGCTCAAACACACCCCAGTCTTCTGCTGATGTAACTGGTGCAAAAGGGTCGCTGCCTAGACGGGACCCACAGATGACTGTAGCTTGCTCAGAACTAGAAGTCTGTGGGATAGTTGCGAGACCCGAATGTTGGAAGATCGCTTTGGAGTCCGACTGAATGAAAGAATCGACCTGCTGCTGGTCTCGGTAATCTCAATTCATAGGTAAGATTGGAGCACACGATTCTGGAGGGATCGAACTGGGAGGGATCCGACTGTTGATTTTCACATTTATAAAACTCCTAAATAGCAAAAGGCACCAGTTCGGTATGTGTCTGGTAAACATGCAAAGTTTTGTAAGAAATTATTTAATGGTTTTTGAGTTACGCTCCGGAAACGAACACCACCCTTATAGAACAAGTACAACTTGTTGCCATGGAAACGTAAAAAATAAAAAATTATAAAATTCCTAAATAGCAAAAGGCACCAGTTCAGTAGACATGCAAAGTTTTGTAAGAAAGTATTTCATGGTTTTTGAATTACGCTCCAGACCCTTATAAAACCTAACTCCATGCAGTTTCGTAGAGAATTATTTAATGGTTTCTGAGTTATGCTCCGGAAACAATTTCGGAACGCACACACACACGCACACACACACGCACATACACATGCACACATGGACGGAACCTATTTCTAAATCCCCCGCCAACTTTGTTGGGGCGGGGGATAATTATCCCACACCTGTGGACAATTTGCTTAAGTATCAAACCTTGGTTAGTCCCAATAGTTTAATTCCTACGTTGATGTTACTATCCTGGTTATAGTAAGAACTTCCTGAGGGTGAGGGAGCTGATCCGGACCTTGAATCATGAGGGTCCACCGATCATTGTCGTTCTGAGGAGCGCAGAACATAGGAGCAATGTGATCGATCATCTAGTAGGAGAACAAGAACAGCCGCCTGAACATGATCACCTAATCATTGGATGCTGATTGTTGATCCCTCGATTTCTTGTGAGTGTCTTGTCTGCTTGTCAGAGCACTGGCAACCGCACAGCCGCCCCTCACATGGAAGAGTTGCAAGAGCGGAATGTGCTGGGGCCAAGCACAGGATCTTGAACAAAGTAGCATGTTAGATTGTATGACTGGGAACATTAATGATAGTGTTCAACGAGCTTGAGAGCAGAGAAGTCTCAGAATGACCGAATGTCATCCTGGGTGGAGATTGATGAGAGGTGGAGACAGTCATCGGTAGCCGATAGGGTGGGCTCTTCCAATACGTTTGTAGAATTCTTAGAAGGCTTCTAAGAATCTTTTGATTTCGATTGACAGTCCAACAATTGTCTACAACATCATTGGATGAGAAGCAAAAAGCCCACCTTAGGCAGTGAATTGCATTCTGCATGGCGTGAGTCAAGCATACACCGTCTTATTCCATAGACAAACTCCAAACGACAATGATACATTCTCTAGATTTTGTCAAACACATCCACACACAGTGGCAATGAAAAAGGGAAGAGTTGGTAGAGAGTTGCACATGGTCAAAGCGTGGAAGGTTTCTGTGCTCGAGAACACGAAATTGACCCAGTTGTTGGTCATAACCATAGAAATGCTGGGGTGTGTTTGGGCAAATGTTTTTGTTTTAGGAACTGAAAACAGATTTCAAGCATGTTTCCACATATGATCAAAGAAGAAAGATGATATGCATAGTGTGAGATAGGATAAGTTTAAAAATCTGGGTTTTTTTACATTTAGGCAATCTATCATTTTTATAATAGATTCTAATGGCAAGGGGGAAAAAGGTTTATTTAGATGCACATGGTTTGCAACCCGCCATCAAGCCTGATGGTAGAGTGGGAAGGAAGACATCAGTATTACACAAGAGGGCCCTTGGGTAATGCAGGAAAAGCAAATGAGTGAGTGAGTATGGTTTTATGCCACTTTTAGCAATATTCCAGCAATATCACGGTGGGGGACACCATTGTACCCATGTCGGGAATCGAACCCGGGTCTGCGGCGTGACGAGCGAATGCTTAACACCACTAGGCTACCCGACCGCCCGAAAAGCAAATGAAATAGACATGACACTCTGGTTACGAAATATTCTTATCTTATCCTGCTCTTATTCCACTTTATCTGATGGTATGTGATAGTGCACACCTTCAGTCCAGTGCTAGTACAACTACCGGTAACTTCCTTGCACAAAATAGCATGTTCACTGATAGATCATAATACTGCATGGGATGTTGAAAGGAGGATTTCTGTTTATGCAAGGATCGCATATATACTACTGGAAAAAAGTAGCTGTGCTTCAATAAAAATAAATTAACTCTGAAATTAAATAATGCATCTTTCATTACATATTCATGAAGACATCTCCTTGACTTTAAAATCGTGATTTAGCATTTGCATGTTAACGCAATTATCCAGTGATTTGGATGTATACGTGTGTATACGTATACGCATGATACTCATACACATGGTTTTGAATGTGAACACAAAATGGTTGTTTACCTATCAAGTGCTCATAAAACCCTATTGTTTGACCTTCAATAACTTTAATGCAATGCCATGGCTTGTTGAAAACCAACGTCTATGGGCAGCAGGGAACACCCATGACTTGCCGTGGGCTGGTCATCACGTCACATCAATAAATAACCATATTTGATTGGTACATCTATGGAATTGATATCAAACTGCCACATTAATAGCTCAGATAATTCTTTGTTTGAGAGCAATTAATGGCAGAACTGTACCCAACAGGTTTATGGAGCACAACATCCGGTCCCTGATCCAGATCACAACATCCAGATCTGGTCCAGCAATCTACCCAAATTTGCTTCCATGTCACCACAAGGCACACCTAGCTTGGTGTAGAGGGCACCTGGGCTTCAAAAGACAAGACTGGGATGGTATACTGTTTACAGATGAGTCCAGGTCTCATCTGGACAGCTCTGCTGCTCGCACAAGGGTCTACAGGCATCGTCAAGAAGGTTTTAGAATCAGTATAAGTTTTTGGAGGTGTACGTAATGGGTTGGGCGATATCACAACTAATGGGAGAACACAACTCATCATTGTTAATGGCAATCTGAATGGCATACACTACCGGGATGACACTACCATTGTGCAAATGGAGGGACTTAACATAACGTTGCAGCATGATAATGACCGCCCACATGTTCCATGTGTTGTAACAGACCTCTTGAGGTATAACACTCTTGTACTGCTATGGCCAGCTGTTTCTACAGATTTCTCCCCCATAGAACATGTCTGGTATGAGATGGAAAGATGCCTAAAAGAGGACTAGCCAGTAACGATATCTCAGTTAGGCAAACTGACATTTGGAATAACATCCTCAAGGCTGTTTTTAATCATCTTGTGTCTTTAATGTGCCACCACTGCCTCGCCTGTATCAACACAAAAGGTGGTTACACCTGATATTGATATTGCATATTGAGTTGTTACGCTGCCCCTCTTTTAAGGCATGCCGCTCTGTGTCCTATTAATAGGTGTGGATTTTGTCAATGGATTTGTTATGATAAAACATTCATTGGACAAAAGATCAAACATTATGTTACTATTTTCAATAACATAACAATTACACCACTTCATATCAAGTAGTTACTTTTCCCTTGCTAGCATACATAAATGAATCATGTCAGTAATTAGAATGAATCTGAAAATCAAAATTGTTCTGATTGATTTAATGTTTTTCATTCTAGTCTTGAGACTACGTGGAAAGGCAGATATGGTCCTGATAACACTTGAAGGATTAAAAGCTTGAAATCTCTAAACAACTCCAAACTTCTCACTTCTAAAGGAAATGCATTTTGAGAGAATTTAGGAGCATGGTTAAAGTGCAAAGGTCAAACAAAGTCCAAATCTAAACAAGTGCAAAAGTGAGCACGGCTCACTAATACCCCCGACCCGCCTAGTGTGTCAGTAGTTACAAATTAAATAGCTAGGATAGGGTTAGCCTTTAGGGTTTGAAAAATTCATTAAAAAAAATGGAAAATTAATAAAAACAATTTGTTTCTCTTGACTGCACCCCTCCATATGACACAGATTATATGTACTAAGTTTGAGATGAATCCACTGAATAGTTTAAGAGAAATCGCGCAGACAAGGTTTTCGGACGGACGTTAGGGTTTGAAAAATTCATAAAAAAATGACTTTCGCTCGTCACGCCGAAGACCCGGGTTCAAATCCCGACATGGGTACAATGTGTGAAGCCCATTTCTGGTGGCCCCCGCCGTGATATTGCTGGAATATTGCTAAAACCAAACTCACTCACTCATAAAAAAATGGAAAATTAATAATAACAATTTTTTTCTTTTGACTGCACCCCTCCATATGACACAGATTATATGTACTAAGTTTGAGATGAATCCCCTGAATAGTTTAAGAGAAATTGCGCGGACAAAGTTTTCGGACGGACGGAGGGACGACAGACGGACGGACGGACGGACGGACGGAATCTTGGTATAACTATATACCCCCGACATTTTGTTGGGGGTATAAATATCATGAAATGGAACATCATGTGTTTAGAAACACTGTTGACATGACTGACTACACAAGTATTTGTCACAGAGTGACGAAATATCCCCCGCCATATACACCATAGTACCAAATATGAAGACAATCCAGCGATTAGTTCTTGAGATATTGTGGCAACACCGTTTTCCAACTCCAAAAACAGATTTGCCTGCTGTGACCTTGAAAATGGGGTCAAGGTCACCAAATCTGACAGGTGTATGCGGTGTCTGTATATACACTATAGTTCCAAATATGAAGACAATCCAGTGTTTAGTTCTTGAGATATCGCGGCAAAACCGTTTTCCAACTCCAAAAGCAGATTTGCCTGCTGTGACCTTGAAAATGGGGGCAAGGTCACCAAAACCGACTGGTGTCTGCGGAGTCTGTATATACACCATAGTTCCAAATATGAAGACAATCCAGTGTTTAGTTCTTGAGATATCACGGCAACACCGTTTTCCAACTCTAAAAGCAGATTTGTCTGCTGTGACCTTGAAAATGGGATCAAGGTCACCAAAACTGACTGGTGTCTGCGGAGTCTGTATATACACCATAGTTCCAAATATGAAGACAATCCAGTGTTTAGTTCTTGAGATATCGCGGCAACACCGTTTTCCAACTCTAAAAGCAGATTTGTCTGCTGTGACCTTCAAAATGGGATCAAGGTCACCAAAACCGACTGGTGTCTGCGGAGTCTGTATATACACCATAGTTCCAAATATGAAGACAATCCAGTGTTTAGTTCTTGAGATATCGCGGCAACAAACAGGTGGGACGTACGGACGGACGGACGGACGGACGGACGGACGGACAGACGGTCGTGAATACTTTATCCCCCGCTTCGCGCTTTCGCGCGGCGGGGGATAACAAGTACCAAATTCCATTACATTTTGACAGAAAATGGCTGAGAAATGAAGTTTTTCAATATGGTCTGCTTGGCCTCCAGAACAAATTGGGGTGTCACTTTTTCAGTTTAAATAGGTGAGCTGAAAGTAAGTTTTCTTAATTATTTGAGTGTTGTCCCATACACACCGACATATGAAGTGGGGTGTACCACACTAGTTTCATTGATGACAACAGGAAGTTGCATACTAAGAAATACGTACATAGATCTGATTCTTCATGTATCGTATCCTGATGTTATTTAGGAGAGTGGCCTCATTCAAGTACATCAATGCACCTGTAACAGAAAGTGTTATGGCTAGCATCATATATTATACCATATAATACACACTTGCTTAAAGGGGCAGGAACTACCGCACTCTAGTGGACGGAGCTTATACGAGGGATCTGACAGGTCAATGATAACACACACATTTCATTGGTTAATGCATAAATGGGTGACGTCATGAAAACATTTGGTACTAGAATCTTGGCTATGAATTAATTTATGATGTAGATCGATTCGCTTTGCAGCGGAAACAAATTTTTAATAAACAACGGAACAAAGATACAGTTGACCTGGTTCTTTTATGACGGTGCAGATCTAGTAGTATTTCTTTTATTAGATCGGAGCGCAATTTTCAACAGCGGCAGCAAAATTGCGACACGAAAACTTTATATTTATTTTACGTCGGAATGGAGATAAACATATTAAATTACGGGCAGCCTCACAGACTTCGAAACGATGTTCAGATAAATATTTGTTCACATTGATTCTGTCATGTGCTTGAAAATTGATTTCAACATTAATTTCATCAAGCGTATTCAGGTCGCTGGCTGCACAGATCATCCTCTCTTGTAAACTACTTCGGCATAAACACATGTTTTGTCGCGAAGCTCAAAGCAACAATGTTTCTCTCAGAAGCATTTTTTTCTCCATCCATGACGAGCATCTGCCATAATGTCAATGCCTCGACAATCTTCCTGCTCAGTTGAATTCAACAATGTAATACACACAGCCTCATTCACAGCGTCATCACAAGATTCCTTCCAAATACCCACCACATGATAAGGGTTACGACCTTGGGATGAATTCATAAATTAATTTGCATTTTTAGAAAAGAATTTTTTTTTGTGAATATTTTTATTAAAAAATATCCTGTACATGGTACTTTTGGATTGCACTGCGAATTTCTTGTATTACTTTCTAAAACCTTTTGTTTTCCCCTTTCTGACCACTTTATCTCCTAGGAACCACGCCCCATGAGCGCATTGAATTGCTGCTTTCAACTGTCAAGAACTTTGCTTGTCTTCAATATGAGCAACAAAACATTTATATTTAAATTATATTTATAAAAATATATTTAATTTCAACACAATGGCAAAAGTCCACTGCAGAAAAAAGACTAAAACAAACTAAATTCATAATTATTATCATCTTCACAAGTCAGCTCAATAACAATATTTTGAAATTTCCTTTCAATATGTTTACATCTTAAGGGAAAGAAAATAGTGCCATGTCACTGTAGCTCACCTACATATCAAGTCAACAGTTTCAAAGACAATGACAGCCACTGAACAAGGTTGCTTTCAAACTTGATATTCAAAACAATTCTGCATAAAAACAAGAAGGACTGAGGGCTAAAATTTGACACTAACATCTAATGAACTATACAAAATATTATGGTATCACTATGATCAATTCAAGAAACTTATGAGGCAAAGTTCAGCCCCAAGTCTTGGAATTTCAGAGAAGCCAACAGAGGTAAATACTCATTTGAGAGAATTTAAGAGCAAGGTTCTAATTTACAACATTGTAAAATAGGCAACACGTGTGTTTGATTGACAAATGTTTTGAATTTAATCATGTTAATCAATTTATGGTTCTACAAATCCTTTTGAAGTCTTAGATTTTGGAGCCCTGTGGTTTCTTTAGCAAAAAGTCATTACATAACATATTTTTTTCAAACAGATTCTTTGTTTTGTTTGATGCTATCAGTACTCTTATGGTGAGAGATATCCCTTTGAAGTTAAAGATCAGCCATCAGCCCTTAAGAAGTAAAAGAGTAACAACAGATAGATGGCTGAAAAGATAGATGGATGAAATGACAGATGGATGAATAGACAGATGATGGATAACACACCATGCAATAAGCTAACATGGACCTTAGGGCCTGGTGAGCTAAAAATTAAACTTCCATCAACTGTGTCCTTCTTATCAGTGCTTTTGGATTACTTACAGTTATCCTCACAGTCTTTGTTGTCATATTCCTCAGCAGGAAATGTACGATCATAGATAGCATTGATTGTCTGTGAAGAGAGATACATTGGTTTAAACATCAACTTTTCTTCACCAACTGTTCAGTACAACATTGTATAAGCTTGAAATTACAACCTGTAAACATGGTAAATCATGTCAATCTTGACATGGTTATATGTGATACAACATGTGAGACAAAATGATTTGACAAAAGACAATTGGTGTGATGCCTTGCATGCCAAACTTACAGTTCCTGGGGCATCAAATGGCTCAATGGAGATGGAGTCAGATCCAATGTCAGTGATACGTCCCAGCTTGAAGCCATCCGTAGGGTGGGGGACCCACACCTTCTTACCCCCGTCCATTATGCCTCCTTACGTCAATCTGTAAGTGCTCCCACTAGAAATAAACAAAGGCAAATACCTTGTTCACATTGCTGTCTCGCCTCACTCTTGTGTTCACACCACACACCTGATTCATAAACAAAAAACAACCTAAAACCTTGCAACAGAATTAGCATTTATTTTGCCCTACTTATCATGCTAAACAACCCACCTCTTCATCATGTTCATTCCAAATAAAAATCAAAACTTTTGACATGATTGAGCTAAATTATTTTTACGTTCGACCGAAGCAAATTAATCAAACACATTCAGATACTCGAATTATTATTCCCATACTCATGATACTGTACATGCAGAACTTGTGGAAAGTGTCAAAATCAGGGGTCAGAAACGGTCATATGTGCCGGACATGTCCGATTGGGAGTCTCAAATGTCCGGTTTAAAATATTGCTTACCAGACATTTTAAAAAAAACAAACGGGGTCCAAATAATTGATGAGCATTATCATATCCCTTCAGCAAATTCAGGTGAATAAACAGGTATAACGAACTTGGTCAATAAAAGTATGAAATGTGATATAAAACAACACTAGACATGATGATTTACCATCTAAAATGTATTTCCTGCTCTCAAAGGCATTGTTTTATGTGCAGAGATTAAGATTACCGTGTGTATGTTCTCGTAAACTAAGCCGGAAATAGCAATCAGCTGTGCAGCGTTTCCTCCCAATCTACTGGTGATTCAGTTAAAACATATCCAATGATACAACTTCAAAGCATTTTGAATTATAAGAACCATAAGCGTAGCACTTTGGTACAGATGGTATGCAGGATATTTTTTTTATGTATGGATCAATTCTGACCAGTCACCGTAGGGACTTCCCACGCTACATGTATTTCGATTGCGAAAATGTTATGTTGACATTTAATAGTCAAACTGCCTCAAATATGACTTTTAGTGAGTCATGGTATGGCAATTATGATATATGTATCCATTCTCTTGCAACTAAAGTTCGTTTCAAGGCGTCAATAGCGGTCACTTCGCATAATATTTGTAAACATTGTTATAATTATTGAATGAAATTTTGAATATAATTAATAAAATATATTGCAAACATTAGTCCAGATAAACAATGTATTTTTTTTTTATTACCAGATATTATAATAAAAGGATCAAATTGCGTACTTCAGTTCGGATTTGTTGACTGGTATTTCTGGTGTTACATGATCGCAGTGATCAGCTGATAATGTTTTTTGAGATGGTGGAAAACAATCTCATTAAAATCAGACCTCACTTCTCGCTACCGCTAAACAAAGATCTGAGGACATCCCATTAGGGGTCACGTCAGAACGACCTTTCATCCGACCAATCAGAGCATCCCTTACTAGATTATGAAAGTGACAGTCTGAATGTGATTTCTAATCATGCAACCTCGAAAACTTTAACTCCGAACAATAGTTACGGGTTCAACGACTGAATCCATACAATCTAGACCATCTATTAGCCATTCCAGAATGTTCTTTTGTTCAGGTTTCAAATTTGTAATCGAGAATTTGTCAAAATATGTTTCGAAGCGTAGTCGCCAATTTGAAATTAGTGCCGTAAAGCACAAGAAAGCTGCCTTCTGATTGGTCATTCCATTGGTCGGTCAAAGTTCGCGCAAGGTCGGTCTGACGTGACCCGTAATGGGATGTCCTCAGATCTTTGTTTAGTGGTAGTGAGAACTAAGATCTGATTTTAATGAGATTGGGCGGAAAACATCGTGTCATTGGAAAACTTAAATTTAAAACATTAAAAATGTTTGTAAATTTTGGGAGCCAAGCATTACAGCGCGCTATAAACAAGTTAGCGCTATATTGAAGGGCGCAATAACGAGGGAACAGTGTACATAACAACTTGTAATGTGTGGGAAAAGTCGTACTAAAATACACAATTTGAAGGGGGCGTAGCCAAAATACAAATGTACAATTGGGATTTTAAATTTTCCGGACCCCTGGTCAAAATACAAGTGTCCACTGGGCTGTCACCATGGTCACAGATATAAACAAGTATTTGTCACAGAGTGACGAAATATCCCCCGCCTGTACACCATAGTACCAAATATGAAGACAATCCAGCGATTAGTTCTTGAGATATTGTGGCAACACCGTTTTCCAACTCCAAAAACAGATTTGTCTGCTGTGACCTTGAAAATGGGGTCAAGGTCACCAAATCTGACAGGTGTATGCGGTGTCTGTATATACACTATAGTTCCAAATATGAAGACAATCCAGCGATTAGTTCTTGAGATATCGCGGCAACACCGTTTTCTAACTCCAAAAGCAGATTTGCCTGCTGTGACCTTGACAATGGGGTCAAGGTCACCAAAACCGACTGGTGTCTGCGGAGTCTGTATATACACCATAGTTCCAAATATGAAGACAATCCAGTGTTTAGTTCTTGAGATATCGCGGCAACACCGTTTTCCAACTCTAAAAGCAGATTTGTCTGCTGTGACCTTCAAAATGGGATCAAGGTCACCAAAACCGACTGGTGTCTGCGGAGTCTGTATATACACCATAGTTCCAAATATGAAGACAATCCAGTGTTTAGTTCTTGAGATATCGCGGCAACAAACAGGTGGGACGTACGGACGTACGTACGGACGGTCGTGAATACTATATCCCCCGCTTCGCGCTTTCGCGCGGCGGGGGATAATAAGTACATAACAATTTCTGTACACATATTACCTACATTGTTTCACAAAAATGAATTTGAAAACAACTCTAAGCAAAACTGTTAAATAGTTTGATCACTGAAGACCTATCAAATTGTGTAAAATCCTAGATATTTCTTATATTTGTATACTTATAATGCATTACTACTTAATGCATCTACTGCTTGTTCTTTACAGAAAGAAAGGGCTGTGTGAGGTCTTGCTGAAGAAGAAGTTGTTTCAACTAGCTGAGAGGACAACCATACACAGCTCCCATGTGACCACGGAAGTGATGATGTCACAGATCAGCACATTACTGCTAAAAAACGGAAATCTGAAGGCAGCTTTGCCCCGTCTAGAATGAGAGGACTTGCTGCTGTTGTGTTGTGAGGAAGTCCCTGGTAAAGAGGAGTCACAAGAACGGCAGACGTGGAGCATGTGTCCAAGCTGGGCGTGTGTGAGGGCGCCTGTAGAGATGCTTGTAAAGGCTCTTGTATGGACACCGGTCAAGTGCCTGTGACATGACAGGGGATGCGGCTGGAAAAGCACGTGAAGAGACGCTATAGAAGCTGGGGGAGCCGAGACCGTTGCCGAAGCTGAAGGCTCCGGGAACTGAGGCAGGGACTGCTGAAGTAACTGTAGAGAGTCAGTGTGGTGTTAGCTGAGGCGGCGTCTGTTGGGAGACAGGAAGCTCTAAGCCCAGGGCACTTGTAGTGTAGACTGTATAGGCACCGTGGAGTAATGGAACGTCTTCTGCTGTAGAGGTGCAGAGTGATCCATAGGTGCCATGCTGGGCATCACCGCAGAGGCCACAGTTGAGTAGACGGACGGGGTTGTGGTCAGCATCAGTGCCAAGGTGGAGATGATGGAGGTGGTAGATGACAGGGCTTTCGACGAAACCGCAGTGTCAAAATTGACTGGCAATGACAGGCAAGCTGGCTCAGAAACGTCTGACATTTTTTGCTTGTGTTTACGGGCCTGCTGGGTCTTTCTTTAACGAGACACTTGAAGCTATTTGCCGAAAGCTGTGGGGGAAAGCAGGAGACAGTCTTTACATTTTGTAGACTGAGAGCACAAACACTTACAATTAAGGCACATGGGATGGGGATCCCACGCCAATTTATTACGTCAGCACTCGTGTTAAGATGGCATGTTATCTGCAATGAAGCAGAGTGTAATCACAATGTGTCCCCGCCCGATTATGTATGCTGTAATCTTCATGTGTTTATGTGAACACATGAAACAACGCCACTTTAATAAACAATATAATAGCAAGAATACATCAATAATGAAGTGCCAGGCAACACAAAAGAATACAGAATGCCAGCCATGAGAACGTGTGGCCACATACAATACCATATTTTCTTGAGTATAGTGTGCACGCAAGTATAATGCGCACCCCGCTTAAGCGGATTCAGTATTTTGGAGAAAAAAATAATTCTGTATATTATGCACAGAAAGAAATTACACCCTACCCCTTCAGCGAATTCCGGTCAACGAAACTTGGTCATTACAAGTTTGAAACTTGAGACATGAAAAATCACCAGACATGTTGATTTACCATTTAAATTGTATATTTTGTTCTGCTAGGCATTGTTTTCCATGCAAGGATTAAGATTACCACGTGTATTTTCTCGTAAACTAAGCTGGAAACAGCAATCAGCTGTAGGCCTACACACATTTTCTTGGAATCTACCGGTGATTCAGTTAAAACTTACCCAATTATATAACTTTAAAGGATTTTGATGTGATTTATCAGGCATAATATATTCCAATATCATATTATTTTAGTTGCAGTTTCTACTAAATATATTTAAAATAATAATAACCATAAGCGTGGCAGTTTGGTGCAGTTGATCGCTATTGCCGGCGATTTATTTTTTCACATGGAACAATTGACAAGCCACCGTCAAGGCTCCTGAGCATGTGATCTACATGTTGACATAGAATAGTCAAACTACAACAAATATGACTTTTGACAAGTCAAAGTATGGCATTTTTGATATATTTATCCATTCTCTGTCAACTAAAGTTTGTTTCAAGGCGCCAATAGTGGTAATCTGACTGTGGTTGCTGTTAATAACAGTGAGTTGTGCGATTAAAACAATATTAAAAGGAATTTTAAATAACATAAGTCCAGACATACAATGAACACTTTTTATAACCAGACAGTGTAATTACAAGATTACATTGTGTACTCCAGTACGGATTAGTTGACATGTTATTTCCGGTGTTACGTGCTCACGGTTATGTCTTGGGGGGAAAAAACTCATGGTGTGTATAACATTGTATAATGTGCACCTCCTTCTACACAGTGATTTTGTCTTGTGGAAAAAGTGCACACCATACTCACGAAAATA